AATTTGATGAGAAGTATTGTGAGCATCAGGTTAGTTTCTCAAACTACAAAAGAACTTCAAGGCAGTTTCATTAACTTCAGGAAAAATTTGGGAACTATCAAGTAGTTCTGAAGTCCTCAGAATAATCCATTCCATATTCAACGGAGAGATTTCCATTGAAATATTCCTCATAATTTCGATGATTCTATCCTTCGAATTCAATTTTCTTTTAGTTTTCCTCAGAATTACCTTGAAATTCTCCACAATAAGAAACCCTTTGGAAAGATTATCCGAATATTCATTGAATCTCTTTCCTTCCCTTGGAATTCTACTTACATTTAAAGTTTCTTAAGAATTCATTGGCATTTATCCTCACAAATTCCATAGATGAATTCTCGTGAATTCATTTTCCGAACTTCTTTGAAGATGCCCTGTAGTTATTTTCAGATTTAATTATAGTACTTCTTTTAGTATCTTCTAAAAAAAATTCAAGGACTTATGCTCCGGATTCGTTTTCTCCCACAAACTTTATGAAATTATGCTCAGAATACCCTTGAAATTTTCCTATGAAGTTCAACTCCTGTGAAGCTTCTCAGAAATTCCTAAGAGTTTTCATTAAAATTTGCTTGTAATTCAATTCAGGGTTTTTTTAAATTCTACTCAAAACTATCAGGCTTCAATTGAAATCTAAAATTCCTTAGAACTACCTTCAGCACTTGCACTTGATGTTTTTCTCCAAGACTCTTTTTTTCCTAGAACTCCCTTGGAATGAGGTCCTTAGAAATTATAATAAAATTCCACGAGCCTTTAAAACTGTGCATGGAATTTAACTAGATACATGACAATTTCTTGAAGTATTATAGCTTTTAAGTCCAGAACGAGTTCAAATTTAAAATTTCTAGAAAAAATGCATGTTCCAAAACCAAAAAAAAAAACATTTCAAGCCTTTGTTTTTTTTATTTTATTTGTTACTGTGCATCTTTAAAGTTCAAAGTGTGCATGAAAATAATGAGAAAAAATAAATGCTGATATTTTCAAATTCATTATTTTCTTTAAAATATCCTTAGTAAGAAAATTACAAAATTCTCTGAGACTTCCAGGTATTTGAGGCAAAAATAAAATTTCCTAAAGATTCCCGGTTTTCCAGGTTTTTGCAGTTAGTAGAAACCCTGACTAATATCGTGGGTATGGCCATACACTTTCTATTGAACCTTTCGCTTTAAAGGTTCATATCGTACATATGTGTTTATGAGATACGAATTGAATAAGTCTAAAACATCAAACATTTATTTGGTGTGCCATCATAAACGACTACTTTTCTACTCTTCGGTCACTTTTTAGTCACTATTTTTACACCTATAAGTCACTATTTGGTCACTTATTTCATCAACATGGTCACTAAAATCACTATTTTTAACAGCAGTGATTGCTACCAGCCCTGATGCTCACCTTGCTAATGTGGGATAAATTTAAGATCACTGAGAGCCCAAGCAATGACGAATCCGTCAGATGTACGGCAGGACACGAAGAAAGTGGGAATCTTGAATAATCTTCGGGAGAGCCAACAGAGACAGAAAACTTCCAAACGCATCCGGATAAGCATAAGGAGTCAGCAACATCACACAACTTATCTTAATCAGAAAAAAAATGAGTAGCTACCTATGATAAAATGAGGGGTTCGTGGATTTTCCTATGTTTCGAGGGGTGCATCGATTAGTTTGGGACCGAATATAGTACCAGAGCTGAGCCAAAAAGTTGAGCACGTTTCTTCAGGACCTTCTGGTCTTAGAGTTACCTCTATGGTACTACCAAAATTCACAAACCTCTCATTTTATTTGTCAAACTCTCATAGCGAATCAAAACAAACATAGTGTAGTACGAGGGGGACGACTCTGTCTGCTGTGGCTAGCTGCACATACGCTGAGTAGATAGAAAGAAGATTTATCACGATTTTGAAGATTTCCTGCAAAAAAATGATGCGCGATGCAAGTAGATGCGAGAAATGAAAGAAGAATTTTCGAAGATTTATTCGCTAGTGTGAGATTTTTCGAGCATCTAGAATTGAGATTTAGATGTATAACCCTCCTCGGTGTAGTACTCAAATTTGGACTAGAATGGGGTACGCTCAAGGGTAAGTCACTCTGCCACCTTGTGTTAAACACAGCAAAAACACACTTCAAACACCCTTCCGCCTTATGAAAAGCTATTTTTTCATCAATTCTGGCACCACTGCCAATAATGTTTACGTTTGTTGATCAATTTAGTTGTTGTTGTTTCAATACACTTTTAATCCAAATCAAACAAAAATACAAGATAAAAGCAGGGGTAAAAGGCATAATCCACACTCCATCCGTGTTTCTTCAGATACTCAATCCCTTCAAATAGAATAGCTCAGCTCCACTCCTCACACGTTAGAGTCGCAGAGAGATTTGTCATTTTCAACGCTGTGGATGTTATGCCCAACTAACAATTTTGACTGCAGACTAGCTTATACAGCAAAAAATGCCTTATGCAGCTAATTTATGCCTGTAAAGGCTGGTCTGCAGCTAAAATGGTTTGTTGGGTGGTTGCCGGTAAGCATAATTTTTCGATTGATGTTTTGACAGCTCGATCGACATGAAGAAACACGCAAGAAACACAATCAGCACAGTCACGAGGTGGCAGAGTGACTTACCCTCTGGGTACGCTAATAGATGTACTTGGGACCAATAGCCTAGTCAAGTAGTTAGCCAATTTTAAATCGTTAGCTTCCACCGGTTGGTACTACGAGGTAACTCTAAGACTAGTTTTCATTTGTTTGCTGAGATTCAGCAAAGCATTATCTGAGACTCAGCAATCAAATGTCACTTTTGCTGAGATCTCAGTGAAACTTTTTTTTCCGAGATTTGCACAGCCGAGCTCGGTAGAAAAAAAAACTAAGTGTGTACATTGGATTTGACATACTCCTCACACTTAAACTTTTTCGCCGAGATTTCAACAGCCGAGTAATTCTACAATTTATTTTGCTGAGATTCAGTCAAACAATTGCCGAGACTCAGCTAACAAATAACATTTTGCTGAGATATCAGCTAACAAACAGATATTTTGCAGAGATATCAGCAACAGTAAATGCCGAAGTAATCGGCTGTTGGAGATTTTACCGAGCTAGATTAAGTGTGCTGGTTAGATCAGAATATCGTCATGTTGCCAGTTAGTTTTTTTGTCTTCCGTTTCTGTCTCTTATAGGACTCAATGTCGCACATAATTCATCACAGTTGACTGTTGTATTTCATTCCTCGAATCGTTATTGAAATATTCCATTGTTCCATCGCATTTCCGTTTTCCAAATACTTGCTATTCTATGCAGCGATATTAAATGTTTTGTGACGTAGCCAATTTAGCTATCAATGCTTAATAAATTCCACCTAAAGCCTAGTATATAAATCGAAGCGATTAAAATTTGAAGCTCCTCCGGTGATGGGAAAATCGATCAAAACTGATAGATACGCTCTTTCTCGAAACGTCGAACGTCGAGCATGTACATGCGTGAAAAAAGTAAACTTAAGCGAAAAAGATGCGATCCACAACATCCGATGTCGTTGGATGGTGTATGTTTACCAAGCATGGAAAATCATTTGCATTCATTTCATACATTCATTTACATTAATTTGCCTCTAACTTTTTTCATCACCAGAACTCCCCAAAATTATGTATAGAGCTTTTGTAGGTTTTGTTCGAGACGGTTTTATGACAGGTGGGCAGGAACTCACGGTCTCCCAGTGTTGGTGAGTTCTTTGCCGTTAATGTTCACGAAAAGTTCACTATTTTGCCATACAGAAATTCAAAACAAAATTTTTTATCTGCGGATTTGGACAGTTTTTGACCTGTTTCATACGACCGGAAGGTGTATGTTGGTTACAAATGCCGTGCCAAACTGATTTCCTACGCAATCAATCAATCTTTGATGTGAATTTCGCTAATAAACACGAGGAGCATTTCTTATAGCAAAACTTGCCATAACAAAATGGGCGATTCATTTTAGTAAACAAACTAACACTTCTTCCGACTGTGGCACCTATGTATTAGGCGCCTAGGGTTTTGTTATTACCTCAAATATGTATCTCTTATGCATCACGAACTAGAGCGGGCAGAACTTGTTACTGTTTTTCAGTGAATGTAAAATATATTCACTGAAAAACAGTAGTGGCTTCTGTTCGCTCTGGTTCGTCATGCATAAGAGAAACGGATTTGACTTGTTAGTTGTAGCTAATAACAAAACCTACAAAAGCTCTATACATCATTTTGAGGAATGCTGTTGAAGAAAAAAGTTAGAAGCAAATGAATGTAAATGAATGCACGAAATTAATGTAAATGATTTTCCATGCCTGCTGTTTACAGTTCCAAACTAAGTGTTTTTTTGTTTTGCGAACGACTTTCTTAACTTAGGTGTAAAAATATAGTATTTTATATGAGATTTCACTTCGCTTCGATCTCTTTACACAGGCCTTAACAACGTACTAAACGCACCTCCATCTCACCGATAAACGTCAGCGTCGCCGCCGAAGCACTCAGTCGAACTCGAACGTCAAAGCTTTCTCACCACCACCCACTTGACCACCCCCTTTGGGTTTGTTTTTCATCACGCCCGGGCCCGCTTACCCGCTTCGCATACAAAACGATTGCGAACCGAAGTGAGAGAACATGTTCGGTGAGCGAGTAGTTAGGGGAGAACAGTCCATAATGCACCGCTGGGATAAAATGGCCCTACGCGGTTTTTTTGTTGACCTCCCATTACTACTTCTGGGTTTTCATGTGCCGAAATGCTAATTTAATTACTGAACTTCTAATGCTGCACGAATTGATAATGGAAAAGCTATGAAAAACCACACGGGGCCTCTTTACCCCAGGAGTGCGGTTTTGCCTGTCCTACCCTATGTAGTGAGCACAAACAACCCACCCCACCATACTCGATAGCCATAGAGAAGCCAGAGTGGGTGTGTGCGCTCTCGTTTCGGGTTGGGAGCACTCACCACTCACTCGTCGTCGTCGTTTCGTTCTGCTGTGTTGTTTTGCGTTGGAAACCAGCTGAATCGATAATCCAAACAAAAGTTCGAGTCTAGTCATCAAGATGTGCTGTTTTCCGTGAAAATCTGCGAAAAATCGGGAAAATTTCCATCCAAACCAGTGTTTCCGGTGTAAAGTGGTGTAAATCTGGCCGGATAGGACGATGAGTCGTAGCGCCAAGCTGAAGAGCGCCGCGGTAAGTCGATTTTCTGCAGCCTTGAGACTCCTCCTCAAAGTCAGGCTGGGCTGCTTGGCAGTGTCAAGTGAAAAAAAATATGAGAGAAAAATAGATGAACATTTTCATAGAGACGTCGGGAAGAAGATGATTAGATATTGCCGATACGGCAAACAAAAATTGCACAACCTTTTTTTCGGGGGGCTCAGTCGTGTGTTTGTGCATCATCATCTCGATTGCATCAATGCAATGCTCTTTTTTCCTGCACGGCAGAAACGCGGCCCAATCGACTGGAACAAACCATACATCAAAATGTTATGAAAAGTTGAATAATGAAAGTGAATCGCTTGCCGTGCCAGTGCGATGGCTGAGCCCGCACCAGACGTCATTATCAATTCTACGAGACTGATTTTAGGGGAATGCAGAGCAAACTGTGAATGGAATTTTCTTTTCAACTCAACTTAATCATAACACGAAATGACGTCAGAATGTTACTGCTCCACTTTAAATTTGCGTTTCTCGTGGGGAAGTTTCTGAAGAACGCATACACACCCCGACCTCCCCACGTCACAGAAAGGAAAAACTCAACCACAGCTTTTCTCTTTTTTTTATAATCAGATGACTTCATTTTTTCTGTCTTTGCCGTGGTTTTCCTTTGCTGCTCCTTCCGTCTTACTTATGTTACCTTTTCTTCCACACAGGGCGCGAAAAATGAGTGCGTACAGGTGGTGGTGCGCTGTCGGCCGCTCAACAACAAGGAACAAGCGGGCAACTTCCAGCGGGTGGTCGACGTCTACCCCAGTCGTGGCGTTATCGAGATAGTAAATTGCAATGAAACATCACGGGAAAACAAGAAAATGTTCACCTACGATGCGGTGTACGATTGGAGGTGAGTTAGTCGCCGAGTAGATTGCGTTAGAGTTGATAAGTCAACCTTCAAACTGCAATATTTTAATTCACCTGAAATTGTTCCAAAAATATTTAAGTTTAATTTCGTTCGTCAAATCTACAGACATACTTCAAATCTCCGCGTACATCGTACGGGTTAGGCAAAGAGTGTGCGTTTGACTTGCACTGTCGCATTAATGGCCCTTCGCTCATTTTCAAACTTCTATTCAATTTTCATACTGCCGTACTCTAACGGATCTATCTACCTACCCTAAAGACCATTGTCTAGCTAATAAATTATCACACTAAAGCTTCATGTTAGATTGCATTTCCAACCAACTCTGAAAATCGCAAACTTCGCGTATGAAGTAACATAAAAACACTTTGAATATATACATGTGATTATGTCTCAGCTAATTTTACTGCTAAATACAATGAGGTGTGGCAAAACTTTAAATATACTGTAGATGAAATTAATAGTAACACAAATTTCTCTTAGATGTATGAATATTTCGTTTGCTATATTATTTGATACGGAAAAAAGGTTTTTTTTTTCAAGTAATATCCCGGACAGACTATGGCTTATATCATGTAATATAGGCTGGCTTGCAATGAACACTCATATATAGGATTTCCTGTGAAAACTAGATGTATGAGTGCTCATTGCAAGCCAGCCTATATTACATGATATAAGTCATAGTCTGTCCAGGGTATAAGGGTGAGATTTTGTTGCGTGTGAAAATTTCCGTTAGAACTTACGCCAAATTTTCGTCAAAATTATAACCTTTTTCATTAGAAGCAACAGAAATATTTGTTTGAATGTCTGCCTATTGTTATTTGTTAATGATATCAATTGACATTGAAAATTTCGTTATATATTGTGATCAATTTCATTGTAAGTTGCGGCCGAATGTAACTATTTTTTTCTTAGAAATTAAGACCAATAAAATTAAAAGTTTACATTGGAGTTTTATATCTTTTTAAACTAATCTCCTTAACAGTTGAGGCCAGTTTCTGTGATAAACATCATGATCAATTTATTAGGAAATTGTGACAGGTGCTTAGAAAAGCTGTGTCAAAATTCTTTGAAATTGGTGAGATCAATATTCTCTTGATCAGTTCCACACAGATTCGCAAATCGTTTCGGATCGAACTTTTACGATTATGATGAAACTTTGCACAGTTGTTTGTTATTGTCCAACATGTCATTTAACAAAAAAAAATTAAAATTACTCAAAATGCATATTTTTTTAAATTATTTTTTATATTTATTTTGTAGCTTAGATAAAGTAATACCTACTGACACTGTGTATTTGCTGGGCAAATGATAATTTAAAAAGTTATGAATTATTGAAAAAAAATAAGTATTTTCCAAAATACTACCAATAGTTATCGAATATCTTTAAAATAGTGTTAATATTAAAACACATTAAATTTACAACAAAAAAAGCTCATAATGCTTAAATTGCCCACCAAGGTTTCTGGCAGATTTTTTAGGTTTTCCACAGGAAACTATGAGACAAATTTACTCATCGCTGAGTTCCTGCACTTTTGGCGATTATGAGTGAACTAAACTCAAATTTGGGTCGTTCTCATTCGCCGTGTACGCAAAAGGAAAAGAGCCAGTGTCGCTACTTGATAGCAAACTACTCATAATGGGAGGAGTCTTTGTAGCTTTTATACCTTGGTTACACATCATTCTGATTTAACCTGAAAAAGATATAAAAGAGCGCTGCTGTATGGCATTAGCTCATTTTCGCTTCGGACGGCGTGGTGAACAGCAATAGCAGCAGTAGGAAGGTGGTGGCTAGTCCACTCCTTCACACCTAACAAGCAACAATTGACTGGTCGTGGCAAAGGAGGAAAAGGTCTGGTAAAGGAGGCGCCAAGCGTCATCGCAAAGTTCTTCGAGATAACCGCCGTCGGTCGTCTGGCTCGCCGTGGTGGTGTCAAACGTATCTCCGGTCTGATCTACGAGGTGTGCTGAAGGTTTTCCTGGAAAATGAGGTCCATGATGCTGTCACCTACACTAAACACGCCAAGCGTAAGTGGCCATGGATGTCCTCTTCAATAAAACGACCCTTTTCAGGACCATCAAGCTTACATCAGTAAAGAGTTGGAATATAATTTATCTGTGCTTGTTTGTCCATATTCAGAACCACAAGCCCCCAACGACCACACCAAATGCTCTCCAGAATTGTAATCTTGTAACCAAACTTGGATGCAGGGGGCAAGTGATTTTGATTGATTCTAATTGAAAAACATTACTACAAATTTGATACGCCTACAATTCAAAAACGGAAAGAGTTGAGATAATAGATAATTGTTCACTTAAAAGAACTAAATGCTCTTCACATTTATTCCGTCCACTAGCGGTCCTACGTCAAGCTTCCGTTCGTGCCCCTAGGCACAGACCCTTCTACTTTTTTTCCTGGTCCAACGTCCCTCAGGATTGCACCTGCGTCACAATGTTACGCCAACAAGTCGGTTCGTGGCTTGACCAGTTTCTTGACCGTCCCACACTTCCTAGATTTCGCTCCACTTGGTCTAACCACCTTGCTCGATGTGCTCCGCTGCGGATTTGAGGCAAACACAATTTTTGCGGCATACTTACAACGTGTCCCGCCCATCGTAACCGTCCAGCTTTCGCGACTTTCTGGATACTGGATTCGCCATAGAGTTGCGTCAGCTCGTGGTTCATCCTTCTCCTCCATACACCGTTCTCACACACCCCGCCAAAGATGGTCATAAAGACTCGTCGTTCGAAAACACCCAGTGCTTACCCAGGTCCTCCTCGAGCATCGTCCACGTCTCGACCCCGTAGAGAACTACCGGTCTTATCAGCGTCTTGTACATGGTACATTTAGTACGGGGATGAATTTTACCCGACCTCAGGGTTTTGTGGAGTCCGTAGTAAGCACGACTTCCGGCAATTGCATAAAATTTCTAATCAAATCACACTACTGAAATCTGGCTCCATGTTCGCGGGAAATATTTAGCTAAGCCATGAAACCGCATGAAAAAGTTATGAATTGGTTCGTGTCTGATCTATTCTGGACAAATTATTTTTATCTAATACCATTGACAGACATACAAAGCAGTACCGTTGTACGTTGTACTCCTTTAATCGAGTACCTCAAAAGGTACAATTTGAGGTACTAGCTTAAAGAAATACAACGGTAGTACAACCAACAATCAATACGAAACTAACGATTTTAAATTGGCTCACCACTTTAGTAGCCTATTGGTCCCAAGCAAACGATTAACGTACCCTATTCTAGTTGAAATTCTATTACTACACTATGTTTGTTTTGATTCGCTATGAAAGTTTGACAGATAACATCAGGGGTGTGTGGATTCATGCAGAACATGCAGGGGTGAGTGAAATAGCTTGGGACTGCTTGGGACCGTTGTTCTGGTACTGAGTGAGCCAAAAATAATAATGATTTTCTTCGGGACCCAGTGGTCTTAGAGTTACCTCTATGGTACAACAGTGTACTTTGTATGTCTGTACAAGGTATAATTCAAAAAGTCCTATGGTTTTGACAGTTCGGATCACTGCACATTTAAATCGGCCGTTTACGATTTTCGGGCATAAATCAGAATTATATGTCGGTGCTGATACGGTTGCATCATCTACTTTGAATGTCCATCTCGAGTGGTACATTTCCATCTAGTTGGAAATTTGCACACATGTTCCCTGTACCCGAAAAGGGAAGCAAACACAACCGGTCGTTCTAATATCATTGTCTGACATCGTAGAAAGGGATAAAACGGATCAAAGAGACTTTATACACAGCGACTTGTCAGCAGCCTTCGATAATCTAAAATGTCATCGCGATTGCCAAGTTGCATAAACTTCATATCCAGAAGACTGGCAGCTATGGGAGATGAACCAGCTTGACCTGACCGGGCTGTAAATTTCCAGATGGAATTCAATTTTGAAATCTGTGTTAGGGAAAGCGTTGTTTGCAGGCAATCTGTTATAATTTAGATCACTATTGCAACAGTTGGACATTTGTGCAATTTTCAATAGTGACCTATTGAAGAATTAAATCCATCCGCTATTGACAAAACCTTACCACTTTTCGTAATGCGGTCAGTTTTGAAATTGCACCCCCAATATGTTGCCGAAAGATGTAATACCATAGAGGTAACTCTAAGACTAGTAGGTCCCGAAGAATCGTGCTCAACTTTTTGGCTCAGCTCTGGTACTATCTTCGGTCCCAAGCTAATCGATTCACCCCTCGAAACATAGGAAAATCCACTAACCCCTCATTTTATCTGTCAAACTTTCATAGCGAATCAAAACAAATATTGTGTAGTACTAGAATTTCGAGAAGAATGGGGTACGTTAATCGTTTGCTTGGGACCAATAGGCTAGTCAAGTAGTAAGCCAATTTAAAATCGTTAGTTTCGTATTGATTGTTGGTAATACTACGTAAAAAAAACTGACAACTTTGCCAAAATCCAAACGACAGATACAGCGCTGCGTTCGAGCGAAGCTGGAGGCAACGAATATAAAAATGAGGTTGAAATCTTTTCTATCAAATTCGTTTAGATCATTTACCTTTGAGCGATAGATGACGTGATTGTGCCTATCTCATAGCGGTTGTATGAGAAGACGGAATTTTTTTTCATCGATCTTGTTTTCCGTGCTAAGCACCAATGCTACCGATGCCAGGAAGGCAGCTCCCACACCTGAACCTTACCTATCGACCCATCAACTCATGAACCGGGGACCAACCAAAGGAAGGCGTGATCAGAGATGTTATGCCTCAGAACATCCCTGCGGGGCCGACTGGGATTGAACCCAGACCTGCTGGGGTGAGAGGTAATCACGCTTACCACTACACCACCGGCACCGCTAAGACGGAAGAGTTGCCAGTCTTCTTGATATGTTGTCTTCGCTTGGGGTTAGACAGTTGGTGGGGGCCCAAGCAAGGTTGCAAAGACTCATTTCAGCTAAAACAATGTTTTTCTAAATTATAAAATAATTAGATGCCATGATCAAAATTTGAATTGGTAGGATACAAGAAGAGGTTGCAAAGAATGTGTTTGACATATTAAACCTGTTTATTTCACTTCATGAGAGTCACAATCAGCGATTTTTCACAAACTCACTCACTCACTCACTCACTCACTCAGCGATCAGCAAATCGCTGATTGTGACTCATAGAAAGCAAAATTTACAGGTTTTATGTTTCCAACGCATACTTTGTAACCTCTTCTTGTAAGTTACAAGTAAAACATGCCATCATACCATCTTTTGGTTTTATTATTCCGAAGAACATTATTTTAGCTGAAATGAGTCTTTGCAACCTTGGGCCCAAGACGGTGGTTGTGAGTTATTTGCCGTCAGTGTTCATGCAAAGTTCACTATTTTGCCATAAACAGTGCCAAAACAAAAAAGCTTGCGGAGGGTTTGGACAGATTGGAACCTTTTTCATACGACCAGAAAGTGTATGCTGGTCACATATGCCTTGCCAAATTGATTTCCTACGCAAGTGATGTGAATTTAGCGAATAAACACGACGAGTATTGATGATTGAAAAATTTGCCATATATAATCGTCTTAGTTCATTTGCATGAACAAACTAACACTTCTTCGGTGACACCTTTGATTATCCGCCTTGGTGGGGGCCATTTGTGACTGTTAGCCCTGCGAAATGTCCATTAATCACTTTTAAGGTGCAAATCAGATTGGATTTAGCTTTTGTATGTATAAGTATGCATAAATGATTTGAACGTATGTATTGGTTTTGGTGCAGGAGTACCAATACATACAGTAAATTAGTGTTTCTCTTTATAAAGGGGGGAAGTATTGTAATTTTGCAGTTTTAAGTTTAACTATATTTTTTTCTAAAAACTTCAGGGCAAGTGTAAACTTCAGATTCAACTAAATTCATACATGTAAGGGGTCATGTACTTATTACGTAAGGGTTTATTATTTATCGGGGGAATTGAGTTCAGCATTTTCTTATTTTTCAAAATTGCATTATTTACTGACTTTTTTTCCTTTGATTTATTTTCCGTCGATCTTGTTTTCCGTACTGCTACCAATGCTACCAACCGCTTCTATAGCTGGATACTACCTTGGTGGGGGGGGGGGGGTATGGAAATCTAACTCATGACCATCCACTTGAGAAGCAAACGTGTAGCCAACTACGCCACGGGATCCCCCTCTGTGTACTTATATCTCGGATTTGTTAGAGAAAAAAGGGTTGAAAAAAAACTTAAAATAGAGTTGTAAATGGACGGGTCCTAACTAATAGGAATAAGTATTTAGTTTACATTAATGCTAGTATAGACACACCGAACACCATAGGACAAATTCAAGTTTTCGGTTATGGTCTAATCTATAATTTGTGGATCCGAAGTCCGAAAGAAGCAGCAATTTCAATAATGCTCCTTCGACGATATTGTTATGTTTGATGAGAGAACAGATAATAATGGCATTTTTTTGTGTATAAGCTTGTTCAATATGTGATTTTCAGATAATATTTACTCTTTATTTCAAAATCACTTAGATTACATCTTATCCGGCCATAAAGTTTATTCGGTAGTTATCAATACACAGACCATCAAAAAAAATATATATACACACTTAAAACATTCGTAAATATCAGCATTTAATAAAAGTGGCATCTTCGACAATTTTTAGTGACAAAAATTGGTCAAAAAACTTAACGATTTTGTTCTTAACATTTTCAGAAAAATAAGAGTCATCTTTAACCACTTCCTTGGTAAAAAAAAGTCGTGTAGATTATTCGAATTAACGAAAAGGCACACAGCCTTCCCAAGGTTGCAAACATGCAGTGCGGTTTGTGCCTCGCAAAACGTTTTCCTATCCAAAACTACTTCACCGTCTTTTTTCTTTACTAATAGAATTTCTCCAGTGGTATCGGAAACAGCTGAAAAGCAGGATAATAATATAAAAATGTAATTCAAAACATTGATATTCTCTACCATCTGGTATGCAACACAAAAAGCTATGACACTTGTCAATGAAAATTCGGCTGCCTCCCATTTCGTATCCATGATCCACTTTCAGATACTCTGTAATCGGTCCAATGATAGTCCTGTTTTGCTTAATGTAGTTCCAAGTATTCGTGGTCAACAAAATGTTATCACATTTTTTAGCCAAGGTCTGCGGTGTTGACCATAAAATGTCAGCAAAAAATGCAGAAAGAATACGCCCTTTAGCAAATTCCTCCAACTCGGGAATTGTGAGATCTCGATGAATTTTGTCTTGAGATTCAGAGGTGAGCTGTAAAAAAATACAAAATTCGATGATACATAAACAGAGTGGATGATCGTATTAATTGATAATTACCTGATACCTTAGAATCACATTAGTTCCCATGTTTTCAAAGTTCTGAACTCTCTCAGCTGCTTCAATCGCTTGTGGACCATAATCTCGATCGACTTCACTCAGCTTGGCTGGTTTTCTTGCATACTCAGACCGGCTTTTTGATTTCGTGGTAGCTTCTTTCAGCTTCGCCTTATACACAATCAACTGGTTGAAAATGTTACCTAGAGAACATCCGGCGAATTTTTTCAAACTTCATAATGCCAATTATATCCTTCATTATGATGCAACACGGTGATCCATACCCTCCTCTGGTATGATCGTCTGCTCATAATGTTCAGCCTTTTTCCCATATTGAACTTACACAGCCTGCTGAAGACATTTTCAGCCCTGAAATGTGTTTAATGTATGGATATTCATTGAAGCAACACTAAGAATATACATAAAAACTTCTTTTTAAAAACTATATTTAAGTTAGGGCTAGTTAAAGATAACTCAATAAAACGCTAAAAAAAAAGTGTATAGAAAGTCGTAGCAAAAATGGAACAAAAATGTTATATCAACAATTATAAGAAATTATCCTTCTAAAACCAAGTTGTTACACGCAAAGCAGGAGGCAGAATATGCCACACAGCTTTTATATACTTACAGATTGCTGGTTTTATTATAGTTCAAAAATTCTGCTTTTGCGGCCACAGCATCAACTATCTTTTGAATTTTCGATAGCACATCACATTTGGTAAGCGGAGGAATGTAGTTTTCATCATCCAGTGTTTCTTTGGCACAAAAATATTCACGACATTTGTTATGATTGCCAAAGACGTGAGCTGGTACGTTTCGGATATCAAATCTTAAGCCTTCTACATCTTAAGCATCGGTCTCATCAGCACAGTGCTTAATAGCACAGCGAATACCGAAGGTGATTCTATCCAACTTTTTATGACAATATCATTCACTTCCTTAGGGTATTTAATGTGAAGAGCAAATGGACATGCATTTATAATTGTCGATATTATCCCTATTCCATATATTTTCTTAAATATTCTTATCATATTATGTGAACTAAAGATATCTTACCTCTCGAAGTTTCTTACCGCAATTCTTGGTGACGTTGTTACAACATAGCTGATGTTGAATAGATGCACCGTACTTGATAGCATTTTTTAATTTTTTGATCTGAATTCCACCTTAATCTGAAGAAAGGTAAAAGATCTGGGAGTCATTCAACTTACGTACTGTGCAGGCAACACATCTCGGCGTCAAGGGCATTTTTGACCTTTCCTTCTATATTATACTTAATCCATAAAATTGCGACTAAATAATCTAACACCCGATTTACTTCTTCCAGCTCCACCCAGCAACAGGTGTACGATGAAGTCGTCCGTCCCCTAGTCTACTCCGTGATGGAGGGCTTCAACGGGTGCGTCTTTGCCTACGGCCAAACGGGCACCGGCAAAACGCACACCATGGAAGGCATCAAGAATGACCCCGAACAGTGCGGTATCATTCCCCGTGCATTCGAGCAGATATGGGCCCACATCAATCGGTCGCAGAATATGAACTTTTTGGTAGCGGTTTCCTATCTCGAAATCTACATGGAAGAATTGCGAGATTTGCTGAAACCGAACTCGACCTCACCACTGGAACTGCGCGAACGTGAGGGTGGAATTGTGGTACCGAACTTGCATTCGGTGCTTTGCAAGAGCGTAGTGGACATGATCCACGTCATGCACATGGGAAACAAGAATCGGACCGTTGGATTCACCAACATGAACGAGCACAGTTCGAGATCGCATGCAATTTTCCTGATCAAGATCGAAATGTGCGAAGTCGGGTCAACTCTAGTCAAAGTGGGAAAGTTGAACCTAATCGATTTGGCTGGTAGCGAACGTCAATCGAAGTCGGGAGCCACGGCGGAACGGTTGAAAGAAGCCAGCAAGATCAACCGGGCGCTATCGTCGTTGGGAAACGTGATTTCGGCTTTGGCAGAAAAATCGCCACATATTCCGTATCGTGATTCCAAACTAACCCGCCTGCTACAGGACTCACTAGGTGGCAATTCCAAAACTATTATGATTGCCAATATTGGCCCTTCGGAGTATAACTATAATGAAACGTTGACAACCCTGCGTTATGCCAATCGGGCTAAGACGATCGAGAATAAGCCAGTCATGAACGAGGATCCACAGGATACGAAGCTGCGCGAGTATCAAGAGGAGATCGCTCGCCTACGGAAGCTTATTACCGAACGTCAGAACCGAGAGAAGTCCGTACCAAAGGTTAAGAAAGTTAAGCAAAAGACTATTAAGCGGGATGAAAGTTTGGAAGAATCGGACGAAAAGTCTGATTCGGATGTCGAGGAAGAAGAAGACGAGAAGGAGAATGAACAGGACTTTAGCGAACTGGATGCCAAAGCGCAGGAAGCTTTGATGAAGGAGCAAGAGGTGACGTGCACTCTAGCAGGCAAACTGCAGGAACTGGAGAACCAACTCGTAAAGGGCGGCAAAAACATATTGGATACTTATACCGAGCGTCAGATGGAATTGGAAAAGAAGATGGGTGAAATTGCCGAACGTAAGAAGCGTGAGATTGAGATGCAACAGCAGCTGGAACTGCACGAGGAGTCTACCATGGAAATTCGAGAGACATTCACCTCCCTGCAGCAGGAAGTGGAACTGAAGACCCGCAAGTTGAAGAAATGCTACGCAAAGTGTATGGCTTTGAAGCAGGAACTGCAAGACACCAAGGACGAGCACAATCGTGATCGGCGAGAGCTGGAAATGACCCAGAACGAGCTGATCAAGGAACTGAAGCGTTTGCTGTTGATAATTGATAATTTCGTCCCGGCGGAGGTCAAGTCACGGCTGTACACCCAGGCCAAGTACGATGACGAAGCGGAGGAGTGGTATCTCAATAGCAACATGATTTTGAGCAACCACCAGATGGTGCCACGGCCGGTGGCCGATATGAACAGGCGGCGGCCGATGTCCGAGTATGCGCTGCACATGATCAAATCCAACGCACCGGATGCCGTGCGATATAAGGTAGGTTTTCTTCGTATCAGGGTGGCCACTGAGTTAAAGAAACTAAATTACCGGTTTTTAACGGGTGCCCAACATTTCAAAGGGGCGTAATTGTACATTCGTCGATTTCTCGCGAATAAAAGCTCACTCATGAAAATTAATGATGGTGGTAAGATAAATGTTCCCTCTACCAGCTAGCATTGTTAATTTGGAGGGGTAAGCTTCTATTTGCGAGAAATCGACGGCTAAAGTCATTGTTTACAAATACAATTACGCTCCATTGAAATGTTGGCACTGAATTTCTGAAATTTATGTCACTGGATAAAAGTTACGGAATTTTATTGTAAATGCAGAAAACGGGAGAAATAACCGAAGCAAAACTATGCAGGAGGTGGCTTGGTTTGATTTCCGGTCCGGTCTAGGGTTCTTTTTCGGGTTGAAAAATTTCTTGAAAAATGTTCCTGTTGGATCGGTTTAGAGAACCATTTTCACTGGGCCGTCGTCCGACATTCTTACGACGTGCCCAGCCCACCGTAGTCGCTCAATTTTTGCAGTATGGACGATGCATTGTTCTCCTATAGGTGGGCAAAATAGCTCATCTGGCTGAGCGGATCAGACCCGTCCAGCTTATTAAAGGGAGTCGATTCTTTCGAACAGCTCTTTAGCTCACCTTGAAATTATAGAAATTTGACGCAAATTCAAAATCAGAAAAGAAATACAGGGTTTTACTGACCATAAACCCATAGAGCTACTGAACAACTGAACAACCGTAAACCAAAATGTGCCAAAAAACATATCAGTAAAAGCAAAAAAAAATGTATGCGAGAGAACTACACCACGGAGAACCAAAACTACCCAACGGTTAAGTTCTTTAAACTTACTTTTGAGTTGATGCCTTTCACTTGCTCTCTTGTTGTTGTCAAAAACGAAAAGAGCCAAACAAACCAAAATTGAGTTCTATTCACCCAACTCGACAGTTCCGTGCGCCAAGTTAAAATTGAGTACGTTGTGTAAAACTCAATTTTTAGTAGTTTGAACATGACGTTGAGTGAAAACAACTTTAAAGTAAGTAATCCTGTTTACATGCGAGTGAATGACAACAACTCAAAATTGAGTAGGCGCTATAATTCTAAATTGAGTTGGCGCACGGAACTGCCAACCTGGGTGAAAAGAACCCAACATTAGATACTTTTTTCTTTCCGTGTATGTCACACGCGATAATATGATCGACATCATGTTATACCCCGTACAGACTTTGGCTTATATCATGTAATATAGGCTGTCTTGCAATAAGCACTCATACATAGGATTTCCAGTGAAAACTAGATGCATGAGTGCTCATTGCAAGACAACCTATATTACATTATATAAGCCATAGTCTGTACCTCGGTCTGTACGGGGTATTACACGATGTTACGCCTTTTCTCAAGCTATGCAATCCAGTCTACATACAGATTTTAGTTCTGATGTTAATTCTTCAGCAGATTTTCTCTCACTATTCTCGGCTTCAGCTCCAGATCATCAGCTCCGATCTAGAGATGGGCTCCCAAGCTGTTCTATAGACCCGATTCATTAAAGTCAGCTGATGACCCGTGGTTCATTTTTAGGAAACGCAGCTCATCAGCTAACTGATATCATAAGTCTTATGATGTATTCAGATCTGAGCGTGCATTAGCGGAGCGGAGCAGAATTTGCGTTGGAATGAGAGAGACAACTAGTACTTCTCTCCCTCTCGTACATTCGCAAAATCTCGCCCCGCGCGTGAAATATCGCTCAGGACGGAATCCACCTTGATTCCCTATTCTCGGCATCAGCTCCAGATCATCAGCTCAGATCCGGATCTGGAGCTGAATCGTGAAGAATCGTGTCCGAAGAGCTGGACGGGTCCGAGAGCTGTCATGTCAGTGAATCATTCGAGCCGATGATTCGGATCCGGAGCTGAGCTGATAAGCTCGAGAGAATGATGGGGGGAGAGGTAAGAGCACATATGCATTGGATAATACCAGTAGAAATTTAAGATCGTGCAATCGTAGGCACATGTTGAATTACGCGCGCATCTTGGTTTACGCGGTGACTGTTCAATGCGTAAAGGAGCAATGCGTGCTTTTTTGAAAGATTCCGCTATAAGTGACGGATTGAATGGTTTAGATTTGTGATAACAGTGTGCTGATGAGCTGCGGTTTCTAAAAAAATGAACCGCGGGTCATCAGCTCACTTTAGTGAACAGCTCGGGAGCGGATCTCCCATCTCTATTTCATTCGCCTCCTCCACGTACCGTCATCCATCTCCACTCCACCGTAGATGGTACGTTCGAAAACACCAAAGGTTGGACCTCCACGAGCATAGACTTTTTGGAATGATGATAGGCAAATCCTTGACAAATTTGCAAAGATATCCTAAGATGAGTTCCTAAGAAATAATTTAGTAAATTCAAACATTTTCAAAATTTTCAAGATTTCGTGCACAGAAGTTCAAGATCAAGGATTAACAAAAAATCTTAACATTCTGAGACTTCGATCCAGAATACATTTCAAGATCTTAGAAGACTGTTCAATATTATGGGGCTATAAATTTCAGAAAAGTGTAACAGTAAGGTATGTGAGATCTTAAACTTGGAAAACGTGCTATGAACGTGCATTCAAAATCCCAAAAATGAAGAAATTTTCTAAAATGTGTGAGATTTTTTTAAGGTTCTAAAATCATTACAAATATTAAAAATTCCAGACTCTAAGTCATTGCTATTTTTTAGATCTTAGACATAATTTTTGGTATTTTGTACTATTGAAAAGTTTTAAAAATCCGGGCTTTAAGAAATTATCAAGATTTTATGAGAAATATTCGAGATAATGGATTAAGAATAATGATTAATAGAATGAGAATCAATTAAATAGGTACAACAACAAAATTCGAGGGTTCAGTGGCCACCCTATAGTATGTGATGTGAACGGTGAACCTAATTAAGTCTCTTTTTTCAGGGCGAAAACATCTTAAACTACGAGCTGGACATGCCCCTCCGTACGACCTACGAGTATTCCAATCCAAAGGTGTCGGCATCGCTGCAGGCTGTCCTCGCCGAAGCCATGCAAACCGAGGACGACATCGACATCACCGATCAGTCCAACTATGCAAGCATGATGAAACAGCGCCTGGATAGGATCACCCGTCGCAACGTTGGCTCGGAAGGATCTTCCGGCAGTGGTATCAGTGTTGCCAGTGCCGCCTCAAACGGCATTCCTCCGAGCAGTAGTAGCAGTAGTGGTGCCATCGGTGTCGCCAGCCGAGCTCGGTCGTCAATTTACAACCGTGGAATGTCGGCTGCACCTACCTTCGGAGCGCATTCCGGAGTGACGGCGGCCAAAAAGGCACCGCCGGCCAGTGCAGCAACCTTTCCGAAGGCGCGCGGGTTGATCCCGAAGTAGATCCAGCGCCAAGGTGAAACTGAAGTACTCATTTGATATTTCTACCAACCCTCCTCCTTACCCTCCTCTCTATCTTGCTCTGCTCCCTCAATTATCATCACACAAACACACACACGGCTCATCGATTCATATAGGAATATTGGGTTTTTTAGGTTCGATTGATTAGGTTTCGGTTGCTTTTTTTTCTAGAGAAAACAATTCGGTTTTCCGGGCTTGAATGTAGGAAAAGTTTCACATGCGTGCGCTTAAGAAAAATGGCTTGATCGGCAAACACTCACACGGTAACAAAACAAAATTTTAAGGAAAAGGCAACTAATATAGTCGGGGAACGAGACACTAAGAAGCGGCTCATATATTGACACGTTATCATCATAGTTCGTTCTTTTTCTCCTCAGTAGGACGAAGAAAGTAAAATATCGGTAGGCTTAGTAGGAGTGCTGTAAAATCTGTACACGGTGTCTATATCGTTCTTAAGGTTTTCGTTTCTAGGAGTCATCGGTAGATTTCAACTAGCTCGTGTAAATAGGATGTATGTATTTTTTCGGTTGTTATCTTTGTTTTGTTTAGTTTTAGCAAACGAGTCTATTTTTTGTTATACTAGGAAATATTGCGTTTAGGCGGTGACATAATGCTTTAACATTCTATTTATAATTATTCGTTCGATTGTGTTCCTTACCAGTATATTTTGCTACGGTTGTCATTTTTTTTTAATTAAGTCTAAATCTATTCGACTGAATATACTGTGGCAATAACAGTGCGTAATTATTAGGCATTTTGCAGCTCTTTTCTGTAGGTCTTTCATTTGTTTCTATTCCATTAGCGCATTAGAATCACTCATATTCTCCTATTCAAGTACCCTTTTAGACTTCCCTAGTAGTTGTTAGTAGTAAGAAGAAGAAAAATATTGTGCAATTGATGAAGGCTTCTGTGCTGCTGCCGATGGTTTTGTGTTCGCAGGCTGACTGGTAGAGAATGTTCTAAGGAAGCAGTTCGGTATCGAATTTCCGAATAATGACAACTTTTGATCTCTGATCCTTCCGGCAATGCACTACTAATAACTAGGAAACCAGGAATTGTAGGGTAGGAGAATGTACCTACCACAGTAGTGTTCCGTTTTTGACAACAAAGAATTCCTGCGAAATTCGACCGCAAGTGCAGTAACATTCGAGCTTAGACCCCAAAAGCTTTGATGGTAATTGTTCGTTCAATTAATGTTCTTGCTAAATTTTGTTACAGGTTTTTCTAGTGGGTAGTCCAAAGGAATTTAAGAGCGAAACTGGTGACTTCGAGTACAAATCCAGCCATTGTGGTGAATTTTGAAACTCCGGGAAACCCGTGTCTGGGTTTTGAGGTATAAACTCAGGGGCTTATTCAGTAATGCCTCGAATAGTGAGAAAACCTGTGGTGAAGGTGCCTTAATCGCTGTTTCAACTCTTTGGAACAGTTATATCGATCCGACACCCATTTCCGATGCTCCGGAGCAGCTGTGGATTAGAATCACTACGCCAAGCCGGGCTACTAGCAGAGCTGTCCAACGTGTGTCCCGCGGGCCGGACATGTTCTCGGGATCTCAGCAATGATATCATTCTAGTCCAATTTTATTCATCATTATGAATTTCAACCCAAAATGAATGAAACATGTTCATCGATACAGCCATTTAAAAAAAAGCAAGTTTAGAAAGTTTGGACAGGTCTCATTTTTAGCATGAATAGTATTCAGGACTATCGTTGCTATTGTATTTACCGACTATGCTCTGCAGTTCAGTGATTACTCCGGTGGAGCAAGCGGTTTTATTGGCTGCTAATTCTACATGGCCTCACGCACATCAATGGGGTATCGAATAGCTTTCATAACCTTGTTCTGTCTAACGAAGCAGCAACTCTAGCATGCACCGTTTCAAAAACCATAGAACGTTTGACCTTTTTTGTCGCGGGCTACCCTGCTTTAGACGTCCTGTTGAATCTCCCAGGCTCCCTTAGCTTAGTCGATAAAGGCGCAGCTACAGAGCAAGCCGATGCTGGAGATGGCTGGGTTCGATTCCCGGACGGTTTTGGAGTTTTTTCGGGTTGGAAAAATGTCTCGACTTTCCTGGGCATAGAAGTATGATTGTACTTTCCTCACAATGCAAAAATGGTACAGGCATCGAAAGCTCTCAATTAATAACTGTGGAAAAGCATCTAGCCAGAACACTAAGGCTGTTAACCATTTGATGGATTTTTTTACTTTTGGTTAAAATTTGACAGATGGAAAGTTATCGATTAACCCTACTATCCGAGCGTGGTTATTTCTGACAGACAAGAAGTTAAATTTTGACAACCATGGCTGAGTTCTTCTCGAAAACCGGTCGATCGACAGCACAGGGATTGTCGAACATACAGAATAACTTTCAAAGTGTCACTTTTAACCACAAGGTAAATTTAACTCGGCAAATGGTTCACAGCCTAAGTGAAAGCACGCAATAATCTTATATGCGATCAGCAATAAGCTGGAAATGCGAAGAAGAAAAAGAATCTCCTAGCACCGATTGTTTTTGAGGATCGTTTCGAAAATAATCGTACAGTGCATTTTCGACGAGCTGACTATCCTGGGATTAGTGCTGCTATCTTCGGCATTGACTGACGATCATTAGAATCTACTGGCTGTATAGACGATGACGTTGAATATTTCAGTCAAATTATTTGGAACATCATGTCTGAATTCCGAAGCCCACTGCATCGTTTGAAACGATACAGAGCAAAAGCGCCACGAAAATACTGCCGAGATCGCAGGAATCCGAAGCGTTTTTGGTCATTTGTAAACTCAAAAAAAGAACGGAGTCGGTTTGCTATTGTCAGTTCATCTTGTTAATCAAACCGCTAGTTCTGAACCTGAGAAGTGCCGTCTCTTCGTTCAACATTTCATGAGTTTGTTCAACGAAACCTCGGCCTCACCAATTCAAGTTACGATTGCCACAAGTGATTATCCAAGAGATGCATTCGAAGTCAGCTGTATCGTTCTCAAGAAACTCAACGCAAAGGCTTTTTGCCGCGAGCCGAAATGTGTCGGGAGATAAGGATGGAGGTATCTTGACGGATGAGCGTTAGATGATCGAAAGGTGGAAACAGCACTACGATGAACACCTGAACGGAGCAGCGGCGGACAACCAAGACAGCAGGAGGAATGGTTTCATTGATACGGCAGACGAAGGAGACATGCCAACTCCCACGATAAGTGAAGAGCTATCAAACAGCTCAAGAACAAGAATGCAGCTGGGAAGGATGGTTTCAGAGAAGAACTTATTAAAATGGGCCTGATACAGAACAGTTACCGGAGGATTGGAAAGAGGGAGTATTATCACCGACGAAGTATTATACCCAATACACAAAAAGGGTGACACGTTAGAATGTGAGCACGAGATCACTATTCTCAACGCGGTCGACAAAGTGCTTTCTCAGATCATCTTTCGCCGGCTATCGCCACTATAGGAAGCAGATTTGTTGGAAGTTAAGAGCCAGTTTTGTGGGCGGATGATCGACAACAGACCAAATCTCTACGATGCGGAAGATCTTCCAAAATTATCGTCCCTATGCACCATCTATTCATTGATTTCAAGCTAGATTTCAAGGCCGCTTACGATACTATTTCCCCGGAAACTGACCAGACTGATCAAGACTACGATGGACGGTGAAGATATCAGACTCGTTTGAAACTCGCATAGGACTTCGAAAAGGCGATGGTGTTCAACATTGCACTAGAAGGTGTTATAAAACGTGCAGGCTTTAACATGTAAGCACGATCATCATCAAATCAAGCCAGCTCATCTGCATCGCTGACGACGTGGATAACAATCCGGCCGATGCAAGACGCAGAGGAGCACAGATCTAGGAAGTGTGGGACGCTCGAGAAACTGGAGACAAACAGCCATGAATCGAGTTAGTTGGCGCAACATTGTAATGCAGGTGAAATCCTAAGGGACGTCAAACCAGCTAAAGTGAAATGTATTCGAAAACCGCCCGTTTCACATCAGGCTCTTCAAAAAATGGTGTTTCAACTCCGTCCTCGGTTGTTCCTCCACGAGGCATAGTCCATGTCTCGTGACCATAGAGGACTACCGTAGGACCCATAGTCTAGTCGTCTGAACATCCTTTTGAGCTGTGCTTGGCATATGCTCGCAATCATCTGAATGTATACTTCAGCTAGAGTTTTGTCAGACTCGCTATGGGAAACCTTTAGACCTACGATAAATGTTTACTGTTATTCCCAGATTTCATCTAATGACCTTTAGGCTTGAGATCCTTTTAACTTGTGCGGTCTTTTAACTCCACTTGTCGCTCTGGGCTGGACTGGAAATCCCAGACGATACACAGAGATTTTTGATCTTTCGGTGAATGTCCCACGGACTTGTGTGTCTGGCTACCTATTAAATTTGCCTAAGCTTGTTATACACTGAGACAAAACAGTCAAACAATCTTGAGAATTCCATAAGACTTATGAACCAGGACAATTATGATTTCTTAAGATACATGAATTACACGGGCATGAGCTATGCATTTCATAAGAACGAGTTATGAATGATTATCGTAATACACGAGGTACTACGAGTGGTTCTTATGCACCTTTAACCTATTTTATTTTCCAATCGTTGATAGACGTGGGGACAAATAATCACGGAGTCAATAATCTGAGAGCTCAGGATTCGAGCTAACTTATAAATTCTGTTTCATACGCCAAAGTTATTGTAGTAGGCCTAGATGTAGTAGGCTTTGCCTGACTGTCATAAGTTAGAGATTGATTCTTTATCCGACCACCAACCAAGATAGACTGAACTACGGACAAGTGGAGAAGGAAGCATTAGCCCTGATATTCGCTGTCACCCGTTTCCACAAAATGCTGTATGGACGACACTTCCTCCTGCAAACCGATCATCAACTCAAGGTTTTCGGCTCAAAGAAAGGTATTCCTGTTTACACAGCAAACCGTTTGCAGCGCTGGGCCTTGACACTTCTGCTGTACGATTTCGACATCCAACACGTTTCATCGACGAATTTTGGCTATGCAGATTTTCTATCCCGGCTAATGTCATCGCAGCATAGACCAGATGAGGATTACGTCATAGCCGCTGTGTGCGTCGAATCTGAAGCAAAAGCAATTCTCGACGACACCATGAGCAACCTTCCAGTCACGCACCAGATGATTGTGGCTGAGACGCTAAAGGATCCAGTTCTTCAGCAAGTGGTGAATTTCCTTAACGAAGGTTGGCCAGCAAATGCGAAGCAAGTTGCTGATCCTGATGTCAAGAAGTTGTTCGCCAGACGAGATGGACTTCAAGTTGTCGACAACTGCGTTATGTTCGGCGATCGAATCGTCGTCCCATCAAAGTTTCGAAAGCGGATCGTTCGTCAACTGCATCGTGGACACCCAGGAATGGACCGAATGAAGTCTCTGGCCCGAAGTTACATCTACTGGCCTAACGTTGACGACGATGTGGAGCAATTTGTCCGTCAGTGCACTGCATGTGCTGAAGCAGCGAAGTCCCCGACAAAAGCAACCTTGGAGTCATGGCCTCTCCCGGACAAGCCACGGCAACGTGTCCATATCGATTTTGCTGGTCCGATCCATGGATACTACTATTTCGTCATGGTAGATGCTTTCTCTAAGTTGCCCGAAATTTTTCGCACTCAATCTATTACCACAACTGCAACCCTGAATATGCTGCGTGAAACGTTTTCTCGTTACGGCAACCCAGACACATTGGTCTCAGACAACGGAACGCAATTCACCAGCGAGCAGTTTCAACAGTATTGCCGTGCAAATGGTATCACCCATCTCCGTACTGCTCCCTACCACCCGCAGTCCAACGGCCAAGCGGAGCGATTCGTTGATTCACTCAAGCGTGGCCTCAAGAAGCTAGCCAAGGGGGAAGGATCACCCACACTGGAGCACCTGCAGACATTCCTTTCGGTGTATAGTTCAATCCCAAACCGAAACACACCGCAGTCGACGTCTCCAGCAGAAGCTTTCCTCGGAACACCAGTGCGCACCACTCTGGACCTACTGAAGACACCTGTTCCTGTAACTGAAGCTGTCAAGAACCACAAACAAAACGAACAGTTCAATTGGCGGCATGGAGCAGTCAAGCGCGAGTTTGAAGAAGATGGCCTGGTCTACGTTGAACAGCATCCCAGAAACGCCAAGTCCTGGATTCCTGGTCGAGTCATCGAACGGAAAGGTTTCGTCAACTATATCGTTGCACTGGACATGAACGGGAGACCGAAGCTGGTGAGGTCGCATGTAAACCAAATGCACCCTCGTCACACTTCTGATGATCCAGAGCAAGCGACGCAGCAACTACCATGGGAAATCCTGCTTGATGAAATTCAAGATGAAGCTGTACCGTTGGATCCAGAAGTGCCATTCAATCACGATGTCCCTATTCCTGTTGGTTCCGTATCACTCGAAGCTGATGGTGAAGTGGCAAGTACGTCTGGCGAAAATCCTTTTTCGACAATCGACCATGAACCTGCTGCTCAAGATGGAGAACTTCAGTCCGCACAAAAGCCCGTGTCATCTGAAGTAGTTGGAGACTTTATTCGACGTTCTGTACGAGAATCAAGAATTCCAAGAGAGCTCTCTTCCTATGACATTTTCTAAAAGGGGGAGATGTAGTAGGCCTTGCCTGACTGTCATAAGTTAGAGATTGATTCTTTATCCGACCACCAACCAAGATAGACGTAATAAATAGTAGCTCTTAACAACAGCTTGTTTTACTTGTTGGCCTTGGTTACGGATATAAGTTTTTTTTTTCCTTTGGTTTGTTTTTTCCGTCGATCTTGTTTTCCGTGCTGAACACCAATGCTACCGACGTGCCAGGAAGGCAGCTCCCACACCTGGACCCTACCTATCGACCCATCAACTCATGAACCGGGGACCAACGGCTTTACTTCCCATCCGAAGGAAGGCGTGATCAGATATGTTATGCCTCAGAACATCCCGGCGGCGCCGACTGGGATTGAACCCAGGCCTGCTGGGGTGAGAGATAATCACGCTTACCACTACACCACCGGCGCCGTTGGATATAACAGTTATGATTTCCATAAGAACTCCTTTCGCCAAAATTTAAAAGCTTTCCTTAGCTCAGTCGGTAGAAGCGCAGCTACAAAGCAAGGCCATGCTGGAGATGGCTGGGTACGATTCCTGGTCCGGTCTAGTAATTTCTCGGATTCGAAAATTTGTGGACTTCCCATAGAGCATAGAGAAGATTGTACTTGCCACACAAAATTATACTAATGCAGAAATGGTATAGGTATCGAAAGCTCTTAATTAATAACTGTGGACACTAAGTTCGAGAGCACGCAATAAGCTAATATGCGATAAACAATAAGCTTGAAATGCGAAGAAGAAGGAAATGAAGTCTTATGCAATTCTAACCTTCCTTTGCCTCACTCAGTGTACTGCTTTGGAAGTTCTCTAAACAACATTTTCTGTTTTTAATCATTGGATATGGTATATGATCATTGGGGTCTCAGAAAACCTAGTCAGTAAAAACACGGTATTACCCGGGTTCAATTCCCGATCCGGTCGAAGAAATCTTTCGGGTTTGAAATTCTCTCGGCTTCCCTGGGCATAGAGTAGCATTGTGCTTGCCACAAAATATACAAATTCATGCATTAATAATCATTAATAACTGTGGAAGCGCATCTAGAACACACTATGTTGAGAACAGGCAAAACGCTACGGAAGCATAAAAAGCATAGACGCAGAAAGATGGTCTATGATCCCCAATGTCAAATGCCGTATCGTTTTCCCAACGTGAATCTCCTCCACTGAGTGTTTCCATATCCGATTTCATCGATACATTCTCTGCGAGTCAGTTAGGCAAAACACCTGTGCAAAAACCATTTTACAGACAAAGAAAAGTGCTATTTTCCCGCGAGCAACCGCGAAACCAGCTATTATATCTCATGAACCAAACATTAAATGTGCAAAATCAAACATGTATCGGTTAAGGATAGTATCCTTTTACCTAACGCACTGAACTTAGTCACAAACCAGATGCAATTATAATAACTGAAAAAAAAACCAAGGCAGGGGTTCAATTCGTTAGATATGTAATTATGCGTAACCAAAACAGTTTTATGTGTACCAATGAAAGCAAACAATATAATACAGAAAAGATATCGATTAGGAATCAAAAAGTTTTAAACAGGAGATTATTGTCAGCCTAATACATTGGAGTCACGCAACAGCTTTGCCCAGTGGATAAAAGACACACCAAATGAAAATCTCCCCTATCGCTTCCCATTGAAAACAGAAAACTCTCCCTCTCTCTACATTTTCGAACAGTAGTTCTAATGCGAGGAGCATTAAGCGCTAACCCGAATTGTATAAAGCACAATATGGAATAAACTGATTCTATGGAAAACTGTTATTCTGGTTATGCAATCAACCATATCCGAACAAGGACACCCTTTTCTCTGAAATCATGTTCGCCATCCAATAGCGGGTGTGCTTTCAGCTATTTATTATCGGCCTCAAGGCAATCATATGTACGGGATACAGACCTTTCGGAAAGTCCTTCTGCCTCAGCTCCTTCACCACTCGCAAGTTGCCCTTCGTCAGCAGCTGCTTCATCACATGGAGCGGCCTTGTCACCGACGAATCGCGCCGATCCAGTTCAACTGCATCGGTGTTCGTAAAATTCTCCTTTATCACCATCATTCCGTTCTTCTTCAATGCCTTCGTACAACGGAAGAAAAACTCCACAATATCGCCGTCGGTCAGATGGCCCAGGACCCACTGGCACCAAATTACGTCGTACTGGCCATCCTCCGGGCGGAACTCCTGCAGCCCCACGTTGTACACAGTGCCCAATTTTCCACTAGGACGCAGATCACTTTCGGCCGTTGCGCAAAATTGTGCGTCCTGTTCCACAAGATCCACCCGTTCGAACAAGTTCATCAGCAGGTTCTTGCTGACCCGTCCGATCCCGGCACCACAATCCAAGGCCTGCACTCGCCCGGGTGCCGGCTTCAGTTTGAACAAGTTCTTCAAGAACTGATCCGATCCACGAGTGTCCGTGAAGGAAATGCTTCCGAAACCACCGAGCATCCCGTCCACTGTGGGGGAAATCGTGGACCAATACTTTTTCGCGTCCTGGTAATACTTGTCCTCGCGCTTGTCGGTGACGATGGATTCATCGTTTTGATTTCCATTGTTGCTTGATTTTTCCACTTCTCCGTTGGTTTGATTGGGGATCGAGGGTGTAATCTCTGTCGCGTTTTCCATTTCTTTGTGCTTGAACTCTTACAAAATAGATTTTATCTAATTTAGATCGATGCAGTCAGCACTAATTTCGAACGGAAAGGACTTGTGGAACAAAACTGAACTCCATGGCCGACTGGGTAATATCAACAAACTTGAAGCATGCTCCTGCTCGCGGTCGGCGAATTGTCAAACATAATGCTGGTGCCAAACTCTCAAGGCACTCAACATAAAGTGAGTGCCGAAGCTGAGCTCGTACACAGTCAGTGTTCCCAATTATTAGATATATTTTTACTTCAAGGTTGAGGTTTATTTTTTAACTCAAGCACAAAATCGAAATTAAATTTTTCACTATTTTTGAAAAATCTTCGGTAATTTTTGACAGATTTTTTATGTTATTTTATTTGGAAAGGATATTAGTTCCTTGTTCTTATGGTTGTACAGGCTTGTTATTTCCTCACACATTTTGCGCAAAGAGTAAACTTTACAGCTTATCAAATTTAGAAGAACGATTGCACAGCTTTATGAAAATACCTCGTAAAATACATTCACACCGAGGCAAACACAAAACGAAATGGAGAAAGAGTGGTGCGCTTGTATAAAGTTATAGCGAATTCGTTTATTAGACTGATCCAACCTGGATCGGGTATCAAGATTTGTCCTGTTTGTTTTCTGACGTCAGTTTGATCGTTTGTTTTTAAAACCCTAACGCAGGTTCGCGCAGGTTGAGGTTTACAATGAATAAAAGTTCGTGGTCTTAGTCTTAGTTTCGGTTTCGAACAGGTTCCATCCCCGACAATAAACGAATTCGCTATTACTTTCTTCATTGTGCTCTTTAAATGATAAGCTGTTGAATTTGCTCCCAATGGCGAATTGCGTATAGAAGAGTACAAAATATGATCGTTATTTAAATTGAAAAACCATTGGAATTAACAGTTTGCATTGGTTCTTTTTTTTTAGAAAGCTGTTAGCTTTCAAAACTGAAGTAATCAAACAGTGCTATGAAATGGTATTGTTGAACAATTTTTATTTTAAGAGAATGCGCTTTTAATATTACGAGTCGAGAGTGCAAGAAACACTTTTAAAACAAAACGTTTCATTTGAATATTTTCGAAACTTTTAATTTGAAAATGTATTATTTTTATTGCATTAATTTTTGTTATTTGTGTGTAGCAAAGAAACACATAAAAAAAACTACAAGGGACATCCCTATGGGGTTATACACAATGGTGACGTAGGACCTCGCGTAGGACTACGTGGTCTTATATAATAAATGTTATTTGTTAACTGCAGCAAGAGCTTGTGTTTTGTATAGGAATAGGAATTAGAGCGGGGTTCTCTGTATAAACAGTAGTAAAATCTTTAGTATGACGCGCTTGACATAGATGGGCCACAGCGACTCACGAAGAGCTACTGATTCCGATGTGGGATGCAGCTCGCTGCTTGCAGAACAGAGAACTGGAAAACATCACCACTCACCACGTGGTGATTGAATAAACATCGTTTGGTAAGACCGGATGGAATTCAGCTTTGAAATCTGTGTTAGGGAAACCGCTTTTCGCAGACAATCTGTGATAATATTAATTATCATAGCAACAGTTGCACATTCACGCAATTTTCAATACTGACATTTTGAAAAATGATAAAATCTTAAATTTAACAAATGCGTAGAAATATTTCTAATCGATTGGTGATAAAATTATTGAAATTGGTCCAGGGGCAGCTGAGTTATTAACGTTCAAAATCTTTCATAATTTTGTTACATGTTCCATTTTTGGTTTTCACAAAATGTACCCCCATATAGAAATCACAGACGTAGTCCTACGTCAAAAAGTTACAACCTGGATTCGAACAAAGGATTCTGTTGGATCCAACGGCACGCGTACCTAACCAGTTAAAGCCCAAGCACAATGACAGCGGAAAAGCCCGATTTGAGTAAGTATTATCTGTTTCTTTGGTAACAAAATACGCCGAAAACGACGCAGAAATCATCGCCATACAAATTCCTATGGCGACGATTTCTGCATCGTTTTCGGCGTGTTTTGTTACCAAAGAAACAGATAATATACTTGTCGGATTGAAAACGACTTCGATTAGGCATCCTTGATGCCATTTGTGACAACTGTCAAACTTGTCGTTTCTGTTCCGCCGTTTATAAATTCAGGCTCTTTAGATTTTCCTATGTTTCGAGGGGTGAATCGATTAGCTTGGGACCGAAGAGAGTACCAGAGCTGAGCCAAAAAGTTGAGCACGTTTCTTCGGGATCTTCTAGACTAGAATTCCAAACTCTCCCCTTTTAAAGGAGAATTCCAAGGTAGTTGTGAGTAGAATTACAAAGAAAGAAGAATAATCTAAAGGGAATTCTAAAAAGTATTCAATGATAACGGTGAGGATGTTCTGAGGAAAGTTTAAAAGGAATTCCAGGGAAATTTTCAAGTGAACTGAACTCCGAGCAAAAGACTTCATATCAAGAAGACTGGCAATTCTTCCATTTTGCCATACAAACGCTATGAGACCAGGTTCGCGTCATCTGCCGCTCGAAGGTAAATCGAGCTGAACATTGCATTAGGCCCTAAGTAACATTGATGAATTCTCTTCGTCGACTTTCTCTTTCGTTAATATCTTGAGCACATAACTGTTTCTTGTTGTGTTTGTCGTATTAGATGCTGCTTTTGTCGATCTGTGTGCCGAAAATACCTGAGAATATATTTACATTGCCGTGGGAATACAAATAGAAAGACGACGAAGAGAATCTGTCAATGTTACTTAGGACCTAATGCAATGTTCAGCTTGAAATGCTTTGAACGAACTTGATAGCAAAGATTACATCCTCAGAAGAATGGTTTGTGTATTTGCTCATTTTTCAATGCGTTGCTTCCACCTTCACTCAAGCGCAGCGCTACCAACAATCAATACGAAACTATCGATTTTAAATTGGCTCACTGCTTGACTAGCCTATTGGTCCCAAGCAAATCGATTAACGTATCCCATTCTAGTCGACATTCTAGTACTACACAATGTTTGTTTTGATTCGCTATGCAAGATGCAAGTTTGATAGATAAAATGAGAGGTTAGTGGCTTTTCTTAGAGTCGGTGTATAATGAGTCACGCCAAGAGAAAAACAGTTGAACTTGCATCACGGTTTTCGAAAGGTTCCGTTTCTTTTCACTTGGCAACAGAGGACTGCTACATCAACTTCAAATGACTTCTAGCGAGCAAAAAAAAAATAGCGGCTCATTATATCAGTGATTTTGTCCAATCATCTTAACAAAAATAGTAGAAATTCTCATTACTGATTGTTACCCAACGTATCCCATGACAATTTAATGCTCACTGCGTGTTTATGATCATTTCTTCGATTATATTTTATATTTTATTGCAATACCTTTCGTGGACCTTTCATAGCATCGTAATGTTTGTTTACTTTGCACGATACACGAAACGAAAATCAATTATTTTATTCATGTGTGTCACTTATACATTTTTGCCAAAACCTAAGCCTTATACATTCCATAAGACATACCACATAGGTCATATAAGAATGCATTAAAGGTATGTGTGACCGCTTATACATTTCATTTGACACATTATCTTCATTAACTTTTTGCAAGGCGTCTGCTTATAACTTGACTTATACATTTTATGAATAATCAGCAATAGAAATTTGCCAAAAGGTATAAGGAGATTTCTATCCGTGTAGGTAGCCGGTTTGACAGTTCAATAGGTAGACTTGGCTTCACTCTTGGCGTGACTCATTATACACCGACTCTAGATTTTCCTATGTTTCGAGGGGTACATCGATTAGCTTGAGACCGAATATAGTACCAGAGCTGGGCAAAAAAGTTGAGCACGTTTCTTCGGGACCTACAGGTTGCGTGACGAATTTTTGCAGTAAATGGCATATTTGAGAAAAAATACACCAGTTAGTTATTCTAGCAATGAATTTTGTGCGATTTATTTTCTTTCGCAACATATGGATGTTGTAAGTAAATTTATTCAAAAAATTGCCTTTCCTTTCGACGACTGTAGTTAGACGCTTCCGGAAACTGCAGTATGCACGTTTTAAAATGTTTCGATCCATAGATGTCATCACTTAGCTTTTAGCGACTTAAGAGCAACCGTAACGGTACGCTGCTAAACTCATTTTAGCAGCCCTCATCATAGCGCAGCTACCGTATCGGGGGTTGCCATACGCGTAACTAAAATAGCAGTCGGCTTCTCGGTGAGAAGCGTGTTACCAAATTTAGCAGCGCGGGAGAAAGGTTGCTATTCGTAGAAATGTCAAAATGCTCACTACCGGTACGGACTACGGCGAGAAAATTGATAACCGCGATAGCAGCGACCGGTGTGGAGATAAGTGGCTAAACTAAAATGAGAGCGCTGTGCGCTGTTAAAATAGTCACGCAAATGACAACGACCGTTACGGTTGCTCTAAGTGTGGTGTGAGGGGTTCTATTGGTATCCCGTTGGACGACGCCCTATACAAAATAATCCAACGGATTGATATCGGGACTGCTTGGGGGCCAAATTTCTTCCTCCCAAATTTACGAAATATTTTCCGTAAGCCATTTCTGTGCTTTATTGAGCAGGTGCTCCGTCTTATCACTTTCCCAAGCCTTTTTTAATATTATACACTGTTCTTTCAGACACATTTACCGACCGAATTATTTCTTTCATGCATACTCCGGCGCGCAACAAAGCGACAACGGCTGACAGATTGCTCTCTTGTTTCGACATCTTTACGTTTACTCAACATTGTTTGTTTAAATCTTACACCTAACAGTATAAACTATCCAGTGCTGCCAAATATATCTAAATCATGATGCACAAGCATGAGAAATTACTATTTGAAATTTACTGCAAAAATTCGTCACGCACCCTGTACTAGTCTTAGGCCGTTCGCAATGCTGAGTTTCAAAATTGTTTTAAACGACTTGACAATTCTATAATTTGAAACTGTCAAAAATAAAACTGCACCATGATCAGCGCAACGCACAGTTCTAAAACATGTTTGTAATCACCAAGTTCCATAAAATTTACTGTTCTCTATGAAGTTCAAAGAGTTTTTTTGTGAAGCTCTTCGAAACATCTTTAAATACATACAGAAATTTGAAACAGAGTTCCATTCGTGTTTCAAACTCGCTCAGAAATAAAACAGAATAGTCGAGCAGTTGCAAATCTGGTGCAAAGTAGTGCTCGAATAATGAAACTGCAACTCAGCATTGCGAGAGGTGCGTTTCTGTTCTAGTTTCAAATTGAAACAGTCCTTATAAAATACAACAGCATTGCGAACGGCCTAAAACATTACCACCTTCTGTTAACTACGCTGAACAGATGGCGGTAGTGTGTAAACGTCAAGCGCAAGGGAATTGACTATGCGCGTCACAAGTGGCGGTACTACCAACTACGATACTTGTAAATTTACCGTAAAATGCTTGTTCGATGAACAACTAGCGAAGGTTATGTCTGTTTGTCTGTGCTAATTAGGTTCAGTTTAGGTACGATGACTCTGCGAAAATTCTTGAGAAAAAATTCCAATTCCATCAAAATCCTAGAAAAAGCAAAAATAAGACTTGAGACTCGGGGGAAATTACTTTCATGACAATACATACCATGTTTGATCAACAACGATTTTGCAGACATTGTAAACGAAAAAGACTTCTTGACAGCAGCAAAGGCGCAACCATTCATTGGAGGTAAGTTTATGTTATTTTTATTGTTACTGTATACATTTTGACTCTTAGCGCTGCTCAAAGCGTATGCAAACAATCGTAAATATATTCATAAAACAAGCTAACATACGGCAATTAAAATTGATTCGGGAGTGTGATCGATTCAGCCATCCGTACAAGGCAAGTGAAATAAAAAGTTTACTAATTTACCGTTTAAATATAAAAAAAATTAACCACAGTTGCACTGTAAAGCACTCGTATGCACAAACGCGGGGAATCGGGACGCACCACTTTGCTCGTACCGTGAAAGCCTTTCTCGAATGCAGCAAGTCGTAGTACCTATAACACAATTTTGTTTGGTAATGATTTTCACGTTAGGCTTTCTAGACCGTTTCGAGTCGCCCCTGGCAGCACGAACAGTGCTGCACTCCACTTCCGTAGGGGATGTTCGCTTCCTTGATGTCGCTCAGCAACGATAGGATCCGGCCGGCGGTTTCAGTCGGTTTGATGTGCACCTTGGCCACTTCAGTGCCGTCCCCATTTTCACTGGGAATCGGCGAAGAGCTGATCGGACTAGGAGAAGACGGTAGATCGACAAATGGCGGCAGGTTGCGCTGATGATCGCCGGATGGCGTTGGACTCGGCGAGTTCAGGGGAATGGATCCACCCTTTTCTATCACAAGCTGATGAACCAGATAGTTGAGCTCCTTGAGCTTCAGTTTCATCATCTCTCGGTCATGGGCCAGCTGTTCCAGCTGAAGATCACGCTCCATATCTTTCTGCTTCAACATACGTCGCTGCTGCTGATAGAGCGTAATGTACTCACCAATGGTTTCCGTTTCACCTTGCAACTGCATGACCAAGTGCTCTAGTCGTTGCTTTTCATCCGTCAGCTCTGCCACTTCCAGCATGGTCCGTTTGAAACGTGCTTGCAATTTTTCCATGGCCTCGTGCGTGGGCAAGCTCACAGTAGAAACACTATCACTGATGCCGTCATGCTTGTCCACGTGATTCTCGCCAGCTTGTTCGTGAGCCGGACTTGGTTTTGACCTGCTTTGCAGACTGTTAATGGCATTCACTAGTTCGTTTTTCTCCTGTTTCAAGGTTTCAATTTCCCTGTGAAGTTCGTGCTGTTCATTGTTATGGTGCTCTTCTTCTTGATCAAGGCTGCTGCAGTTGGGGTGATGAGGGCTACCATTTTCATCGCTTGAAACTGGATCCGTACGATGGTTCTGCTGCACCTGCTGAAGCTGTTGCTGAGTGCGCTGCAGTTCCGCCTGCAGGATGTTGGAGTCATTTGCCCGGGATTCATAGTACCGTAATCGATCGATTTCCTGATTCTGTTGGAAAATCTGTTTGTTCAGTTCGGTGGTCTCGTGAGCCAAACGAATCATTTCCTCGTCCTTGTAGTGAAGCTTCTCACGAATCGCATTCAATTCTTCTTCTAGCTGACCATACGTGGATTTCATCTCCTTACCCAGATGAAGCTCGGTTTGCAACTTGTCCGTTAATTCCAATTTATCGTTACTCTAAAAAAACATTAAAATTAGATTTATCCACGCACAACACATGTACTAGAAATGCACTTACAATTTGCACAAACGCTTTCTGCATCTCTTCCAACTGTGCTTTCAGTTCCATATTCTGTGCTACTGCTCTTGATGCACCAACTTTTCCGCTTTCGATCTCTGCCATCAACTTTGCTACGTCCGGTTTATCAACCTGCAATCGCTCCAATGCCAGCTGCAGCTCGGTAATCTTCTCTTCGCTTTGTTTCCGATTTTCCTCGTACTTTTGATGAAGTTGCTCCACCGATTGGTTTCGGTTCTGTAAAATATGAAACTGATATCCCTAAAATCCAAAATAATTTCCATTAGCCCTTACCATATGTTCCGCTCGTTCGACCTCCATCGTGGAAATGTTTTCCTTCAACACTTTTACTTCTGCTTCCAGCGCAGCCTGCTGCTCTCCCGCCTCCGTTGAATCGTGCTGCTGCGCTGCATAGGTCTTCTGTTTCGTCAACTGTTGCTGGATTTGCTTCTCCAGTTCACCGACGTGTCGCACCAAATTTTCCTCCCGAGAAGACAATCGATTGTTCTCCTCCGTCAGTTCCCGCATATTGTTGGCCAAATTGGCCATATCTTGGTTCAAATGGAGCACATATTCCTTATACTGCAGACTGCTCTGGTCCCGTTCGCTTCCAATTCGACTGATTAGCCCCTGCAAATCTTTGATCTGCTGCGATTTGATCAAATTCTGCTGACTCAAGGACTCAACCTTTGCATTGAAATCCAAATCATCTTCCGAGGAGAGCTGTTCGATCCGCAGCTTTGACAAACCCAGCTCAGACTTCGTATGCTCCAATTCTTTCTGCACCAGCTGGTACTCCTGATTGCGAACCAGCAACTTCTGCTTCAACTCGCTCAAATCTTCCTGGAGATCTTCGTACAATTTCTTAAACTTATTCGCTTCCGTCTGGTACTCATTCAACTGAGTCCCTATCGTTCGCTCCAAATCTTCGAATCTTGAACCGGATTGTTTCATTCCTTCCAGTTCCTTCTCCAACTTCTGCACTGTTGCCCTGGACGCTTTCAACCGGTTCTGTAGCTCATCATTTTCCGTCGCCTTTACCTTCATCAAACTCTGATACTTGCCCACCGTCGCTGTCAGCTCGGCCTTCTCCCCGACCAGCACCCCTACCGCTTGGATCTGCATCTGCAACTGTTCCTGAATTGGTCCCAGCTCGCTCGTCACCTTAGTGCTATTCTCCAGCTTCAATTTGTCGACTTCATTCTTCAACTCCTCCACCAACGATTGGTTATTCCTCAGCCTCAACCGTAGTTCGTCGTTCTCCAACTTTTGCGCATTCATCACCCGTGACAGTTCTGCCTTTTCCGATTCCAACTCTAAGATCGTGTTCTGTGGCCCCAGATCAGCACTGGCATTCGCAATCAGATGCCCGATTTCCTCCGAAATTCGATTGATACTGTGCGCACTGACTTCCATCGGCGCAGGCAGTTCCGGTCGGGCAACCTGTGGTTCCATTGAGAGGAAATCCGGTACTAGTTGACCAGCATTGTTACTGAAATAATGCGCCACACTGTAGGATGATGGTTGCATAGAGGCAATAGTGGATGGAATTTCTTGCAGCAAGTGGTTTTGGTTTTGGATGTCATCATTGGGTTTTGGGGGTGGCGTTTGTTCGGCACTGTTGTTGTTGTTGTTGTTAGGCACCGGAACAGGAGTTTCCCTCGCGGAGTCGTCTTCACTTTTGCTGGGGCCTTCATGTTTTTGCTTCGACTGGTATTGTTTTAGCTGTAAGCAATGGAAGGTTTAGGTTTATTAGAGTGAACTTTTTCAAACATTAGATTAGGGAAATATTGCAAGTGGGCTGACGTGTCAAATTTGCCGTCAATTGGAGCCCACAAGAGATTGATTTGTTTCCGAAATTAAAAGGGGGAATATCATAGTATTTATTATTTTTAATACACTATGGTACATTCGACGTGCATAAGATTCTAACGCAGCTGATAAAATTAACTGGAAACAATGGTAAATTATGTTAAACAAACCTTTTTCCGGGCAGCAGCAATTTTTTCCTTCTTGTCTGCCATGATTGTTGTTTTTATGATGACAGAAAGTTATGTTGGAGCATAAAACATACTCCGTGTTCGTTTCAGCCCAGGGAGAATACGGAAACGATGTTCCACTTCGATGATGTTTTTTGCTGCACAGCCGCTTGTTGCTTGAACAATGCTTGCGTAGCTTTTCAAAAAGACCTGATACTATACTTTCATATTGAAAGGTCAATATTTTTACTGGTACAATTTTTGTTTTTTGTGTGTAAATGTAACTCTAAGATCAGAAGGTCCCGAAGAAACGTGCTATACGTTTTGGCTCAGCGCTGGTACTACCTTCGGTCCCAAGCTAATCGATGCACCCCTCGAAACGTAAGAAAATTCACAAACCCCTCATTTTATCTGTCAAACTTTCATAGCGAATCAAAACAAACATAGTGTAGTGCTAGAATTTAGACTAGAATGGGGAACGCAACCCCACGCACTTTCATCTCGATTTTTAAATCATAGTTTAAAGCAAAATAATAACTTCACTGTTTGACACTAAACTAACAAACTGACAGCTCGCTCCCATACAAAGTGACACTGAGGGGCGCTAATAAGGTGATTTATGCAAATGTAATCGTACTTATTTAAAATAGTTCCAGTGTGCCAAAATTGATGAAATTTAGGGTTTGGGTTCCATTTTTAATGCAGATTACGAATATGCATTTACCTCAATACCCTTAAAGAACCCAATTACACTGAAGTCTTTTTTTACACGGTTTTTTTACGCGGTTTTTTTTACACGGTTTTTCGCGATTTACACGGTACGTTTTTAACGATTTCTCGACAACGATACAACCTATCGACTTGATTTCAATCACATTATCCGTTTCAAGCTATAGGTAATCGAATGGCGTACTTAGAAAAAAAATCACAATTTTTGGTGTAAATACAGAAATTTTTAAAATATGTCTATATGGACCATAGCATGCTATAATTACAAATGGCATCAAAATCCGATTTTTATAAACATTTAAGAATGTGAAAAATCAAAATCTTGTAGGTTTTTTTACGTGGTTTTTTTTTACACGGTACGTATCCCCCGTGTAAAAAAAGACCTGAGTGTACATTAATTACACAATGTAGAACATTAACTACGTTTTAACTCCATTAATTACAGTTGAAATTTCGTTATTAAAGAGTACATTAATTACATTTTCAATACTTTTAATTACATTAATTACGGATAGATACTACCGTCAGTACTACTTCAAAACGCATTCATTACTAGGTACTTTTGATTGCATTTTAACTTCAACGCACCGGTTCTTTGTATTGCGTGCCCCTCGTCCGAGGCAGTGTCCTTACATACATAATTTTATTTATTTGTAGTTTTTTTTTACCTCTTCCTCCTCCTGCGGTTTGACCTGACGGAGAGTCGCAAAGAGAGAAAAATGGAACGTCAAATGCAGCCAGACGGCTACTGTCACGAACTGTCATTGGGAGCCAAGCAATTTTATGCAGGCCTCCGGAAATCTCACGCGTACACAAATGCGACAGCGAGCTGTGAGACAGAGCGTCGCATGACTCTCAAATCCATGGTGTACTACATTAATTGTACAAAAGAGAGACCAGAACGATGCGCGCGACAAGCTACACGCTCTCAACAAATTCAAGCGTTTCAATTTTTTTGTCTAATCGCATTGCTCTCTCAATGCGACGCATGTATTCAATCACATGCGACTGTTTCATTGCAACATCTCTATGCGCTCTCTCAGGGCGCCATCGCCGTGCGCTGTTTCGCATGCCTTGACTCTCGCGGTCCCATCATATGTGATGTTGTCGGGTGACGACGACGAGAGAAGGGACTGGAAGCCCGAATAGAAATTGTAATGTAGGAAACATCAGCAGACATCTTCAATACATTAAATTTTAACGTATATTGCTGTACCTTTAATGTATTCAGACTTCAGTGTGACGTCCAAGTACATAAAAATACATTAGCCTCAAACGTTACATCAGAATCAAACGTCTTGACGATGTAAAATTTGACATCAGAATACATCCAACGACAACAGAACCTAACGTTACATTAGAATCAAACTTCATCACGATGTAATTTGTTGCACGCATAAAACATCAGAATACATCCAATGACAACAGAACCTAACGTTACATTAGAATCAAACTTCATTACGATGTAATTTGTTGCACGCATAAAACATCAGAATACATCCAATGACATCAGAACCTAACGTTACATTAGAATCAAACTTCATCACGATGTAATTTGTTGCACGCATAAAACATCAGAATACATCCAATGACAACAGAACCTAACGTTACATTAGAATCAAACTTCATCACGATGTAATTTTTTGCACGCATAAAACATCAGAATACATCCAATGACAACAGAACCAAACGTTACATTAGAATCAAACTTCATCACGATGTAATTTTTTGCACGCATAAAACATTAGAATACATCCTATGACACAGCAATAAAAAGTGGCTTGCAGTGCAGTGATACCTCCTATGCATAGTTTTGTGACATTATCAATTGCAAATAAAATTGAACTCTTTAGAAGAGTGGAAACGCTAATAAAAGTGCACTTAGACGTTGTATCGTCTTGACGCCTTCTGCGCACTTATTCTTCATTCACCAAGGAATAAGTGCGATGAAGACACAACAACAATTTAACGTAAAACCGCACTTTTATTAGTGTTTCCGCATTCATAATCTCATAAATGTGCCCAATGCGCGATCCTCGACGCAATCATATAAAATAGCACATTGTGATTACAAGGTAGAGCTTACCACCATTAACTCTTGCACGACTGACATAGCCTCAAATCACTGAAAGAAGTTTTGGTATGCCCTGTGGGCAATGTTTATTTGTATGTAAAACAATGCCCTGGTGACGTTACAGTTAGGGTTTGTTCACAGAAGACTTGTGTGCCCTTTTCAAATGGGGTGAAGTTTTTAAATGGTTCCAGAAATATCTTCTAGTATAGGTTCAAGCAGACTCAACACATGGTTCCAGAGATATACTGGAATCACCGTACACAGCAAAAAAATAATTTTGATATCACATCAAAGTGGATGCACTACAATCATGTCGAAAATTTTATGTAATTTTTATGACCACATAAATAAACAAATGCAGTAAAAGCAGCGTAATGTCAGTTCATGCATTGTATTAATGATAATTTTGTCCTTTTTAGCAAGTAATATTACACCATATTTTCGACATGATTGTAGTGCATCCACTTTGACGTGATATCAAAATTATTTTTTTGCTGTGTAAGATCACCACTCATGATCCTAGGAAGACGCAATTGCTTGTCGAAAGGATGCTAAAGGAAGGTAAAGGAAGACTACGTGAGCGGTGGATGGCAACCTTACGGCAGTTGGGATCAGGGATGGAAAATCATTTACATTCATTTCGTGCATTCATTTACATTCATTTGTCTGCAACTTTTTCCATCAGCAGAATACTGTAAAATGATGTATCAAGCTTTTGTAGCTTTTGATATTATCTACAACTTTTGTGAATAATTAAAATCTGAATCTTTTATGCATGATGAACTAGATCTGGCAGAACATGTTATTGTTTTTCAGTGAATGCAATTTACATTCACTGAAAAACAATGATGGGTTCTTATCGCTCTGATTCATCATGCATAAGAGATACCGATTTGAGTCAGTTACAAAAGATGTAGCTTATATCAAAAACTACAAAAGCTTCAAACACTATTTTACGGAATTCTGTTGATGAAAAAGTTAGAGGCAAATGAATGTAAATGAATGAAAATGATTTCCCATCCCTGGTTGGGATACCGTTAGCATGTTGGCACCCCAAATAATACCGGAATATCTGTGGAACTATGTCCTTTAACAAGTCCTTATGCGGAAATCTTCTAAAATACATTTTTTGGAAGCCTCTGAAGCTTTCAGCCCATTTGGTGGAAAAATAAACAAGTTATTGCGCATTTGCACCAAATTAGACTCAGAATCCCTCAGAATACTTTTACTCAGACCAGTAAAAATATAAATGGACTTTTTTTGAATGTAAAATAGCACTACATTTTACTATACAAGATCATATAGTCGGCGTTAAGTCAGAAGGGACTAAGTAGCAAAAAAAAAACAAAAAATGAGTTAATGATATCATAAGATCAAGAATTCCCTCAGCTATATTTCACTTTTTCAGCCAGATTCGAAAAATTAGAGTAGCAAGAGAAAACGGTCAAATGATTTGTCCCATAACATCCCTAATAAAAATGTTATGGTTAATTTGCTTAACGACGTGTTCAAGATATCATCCAAACCATTTGTGGAATAGTTCAATGATTTGGGTTATCGTTCGTTTATGGTATTTTTTTATTAGGGATAAGACATTGTATTGAACAGCCAACTTTAAATTCAATCAAAAAAAAAATCACAGTTCGGTCTGACTTGACCGATCATATCAACACGCTAGTAATGATAGAACTCTGAAGATTAATACTTGTATTTTGTCTGGCTTGAGTGAACACTATTTTAAGGGATTATTTTCAACGCAGAAGTGTACTTTGCTGCAAAAACGTTGGTGGTGACTTCTTATTACATACACACAATTCTACACTTAAAAATTAACCAAGTTTAACATGTTGTAAATTTGTTCTGTTATGATCAATTGAGTTGAAATTTTGACTCAAAACTTGCTTTTCCATTGACCTTTGTCCGATCAGCTATGCACAAATTTTAATTTTTGTGTCACCTTCCAGCAGGTGCTTCAAAAAATTTGGTATTTCTTACACGTAAAATTCAAAATATTTGTAGTTTTGCGTCAAAATTTCAGCTCAATTGATCATAACAGAACACATTTACAACATGTTAAACTTGGCTGGTTTGTATGAAAACGACCTTTGTCTGATCAACTTAGCACCACAGTGTACGTAGGTACGAAATGCTGGATTAAGGTTAATGTAATAAATTTAGGAAAAAGTTGTGTCATATCTGTGTTACGGATTGTTGCTAAACTTCTTGCTTCAGGAATTGTATTGAATACCTGTCAATCAACAAACTTACTACGGCAGCAACTGAATTCTTCAGATGTGTTAGTGCTCACAGGATAGTTCATATCAGCCACCATGATGCTGAATTGAAACAATCAATTTGCGACGACAGATTTCTAAATAGCCCTAGTGTATTAACGAGCAAATAAACCACAACTTGATTGTACATTTCGCTTACCAAAGCCACATCTCTTCCTTCGTTCGTTATGAATGGGCTATTTTTCAAGTTAATCCTTTAATCAACGAAAATTGCCGCTAGAAAAACTTTGTTGGCCATAGCTATCTGACACCTCTTCTCCATGTTCGATAAGAGTGTAGTAGCTAGGTCGCTTTCCATCGTTTTCAAAACAAAACAACACTTTTCCCACATCAAGAACACGAGTTGGTCTTCCAGTTGAGTTTGTTATTTCGATGTTGCATTGAAACGTCGCTTGGCGACGTCTCATTGAGAAAAGCGATGAGCTTCGGCTCACGTGACGTCGCATGATACTCGTTCTCATGAAACGCATACATACGGAAATGTGCTGTGCTTACAAGACAGTGCGACACACTGACATTATGAGAATGTGGACAAAACTGAAGAGAGAGAAACAGAGTGCTACAAATCTCTTGCGCATGAGACTGCTATGACTATGAGACTATTCGTATTGCGTCTCGCATACGGTAGCGCGCGCACTGGAAGCCTGATTTTATGATGCTTTTCTTACAGTTAAACAAGAATACACAAGGCGGTATTGAAATCTTGCGTAAAACAATTTATGACAAACTGTTGTTTCCTCCTATTTTATTCAATGCGACACCGTTTCTTTTTGATTCATTCAAAATACACACAAATCAATATTGAAAGATACCATCAATTAAGGTTTTTCTCAAAACAACTAGTAGCGTAATAAAATACCAAACAGAAAAGTACAGTTTCTCACTGCACGCTGAATAACTCAAACAATCACTACACGCTCAAAGCAAAACACGCGATTTTGCTACACCTGTTTTGATTTGATTTCAATGGCATAAATTTTAATGACAAGTAGAACAAGTATGCAATGAATTCCGTGTGTGCTATCTGCTTCTCCCTCCCAGGGTTTGACCGGTGCACGGATAGAAATCTCCTTATACCTTTTGGCAAATTTCTATTGCTGATTATTCCGAGGATTATCCAGCTTTCCATGCTCGGTAATGGCGGCCTGTTTGTATGAATAAATGTATCCTTCACTGTGCTTTTTGACACTAACTGGAGGGCGTATGTTGTTCCATTTTCTACTGTTCCTGGGAGAGGGAAAGGGAAGGGGTTGAAATTCGAACATCCAGATAGTGTCAAAAAGCACAGTGAAGGATACATTTATTCATACAAACAGGCCGCCATTACCGAACATGGGAAGCTGGATTCATGAAATGTATAAGTCAACTAATAAGCAGATGCATTGTAAAAAGTTAATAAAGATCATATTTCAAATGAAATGTATAAGCGGTCACACATACCTTTTATGCATTCTTATAGGGCCTATGTGGTTTGTCTTATGTAATGTATAAGGCAGATGTTTTGGCAAAAATGTATAAGTGGATAAAATAATTGATTTTCGTTTCGTGCGGTGAACGAATGCAAAAATATATGCGACTGTGATAGTAACAGTTTGACAGTTCTTTGACTGTCTATTGTTTATGTTAGCTGATTTCTTTGGTAAAAATATCGTTTGCTGTTTTTCAGTAAAGCATTGGATTGCTGAGCATGATCCAGCAATTCGTTTTACTGATAATGAAAACTTAAATTTGGTGTGTATTATTAAGCGTATTGGAGAATAAGAACAGCTGACCATGTTTTTGGAGCCGAGTTATTAACGAAAGAGAGAGTCGATGAAGAGAATCGATCAATGTAGATTGGTCTATTTGAATGGTGACGCGAGTGTTTTCGTTTTTTCGTATATCTGTATGTTTTACTCGATTTTTTATTGAAGTGTATTTAATTCATTATTAAATGTATTTTTTGAGTACAAAGTATATTCGAGGTATTTTTGGGATTTTTTATCAGGGTATTTTAGATTCAACGTGTACACATTTACGTATTTTTTGTGTATTTACAATTCAGCTGATTTATGAAGTTGATTGCGGGGTTGATTACCCCGGATTACCCTTCGGTGCGCACGTACCACTCAAGTCCCATCGGTACACGAATTTTCATTGCCCCGATTTATTTATGCTCAGGTTGATAAAAATCGAATATACACTGTATACACGATAGATGATTATTTTTGCTCCATGGGCCCAAAGCACAAACGTTGCCAAATGTCAAATGCGCGCTCCTTCCATCAGACTGACGGGTGAAGAAAGCGACGAAAAAAAGTTTTCAGGTGCTCTTATCCGCAACACGACCGAACGTCAGCCAGCAGTGCAGAAAAATAACTCCTTTTATTCCGTATTAATCGCGCTCCGAAAGTGGCAGGCTCCATCGAAACTAAGTTCGCGAACGGAAAGTGTTTTGGGCGTCCGAAAAACTCTGTGGTTGCAGCTAAGAGTGTTGCGAAACCGGAAGATTTCATCAGGCTAGTTGGACGAATGTGTGAGTGCGGCGGAGAAAGCATTCCGAGTTGGACCAGGCTACCAGAAGTCCCCAAAATTCGCCAGAGTGGAAAAAACAAGTGAAACGAAAACGTAGTAAAAAGAGGTGACGCGTTAGAAAATCCCGGATCATCGCTTCTTTTGTGCACCGCCGTTCGGATTCGGAGCTGATGCATGTGTGTTGCCGAATATCAAAATAATTTATTATGTAATTTTGGCTTAGACGGCAAAATTGGTGCGTTTTTAAGGGGTGAGTTTCATTCTGAGGGTTGTTGAAACGACGCACGGATCCACACTTTATTCAGGCATCCGCGGTGCCGCCGCGGCAACACGACAATAGAGATAGCGAAATCCTGGTTAATCTACGGAAATTACGCAGAACCGACTGCAACAAACAGGCGGCGAATTGTAGAGAAGAGGAGAAAACCAAGAGATTGCAGCTTGCAATCTTCTTTCTGCGTTCGAGAGTGAATCTTGCGCGCCATTATCTGTGTGTGGGTTTGATAAATAATAATGCAACATCACCACAGCAGAGAAGTAGTGTTGAGTGAGATTCGATTCCGTGAGAAGAGGACACAGATCAAAATTTTGCGCCGATACCATAAAGACATCGGTGCGGGATGCACGGCGCACAGTGGGCTGGAGGGAAATTGTTAGCAGAAATTTCAATAATTTTTATCCAAGCTAAGAGTTTCCATTAGACTGAATTACAGAAGATCAAGAATAATTCATTTACTAACATTAAATATACTGACGTCAAAACATTTTAAAACATTGGTATTACCCTTCCCACTCAAGATTTCTCAAGAAAACGGAAAAATTCATAAGGAAGTGTAATACAAGATTTGAATAAGTAATGTAAGTAATTTCACCATTTTTGGAAATTATGGAGGCGAACCAGCCCCAGGCTGAAAGCCTCCCTAATAAAGATAAATTAATTAATTAATTTTTGGAAATATTCGAGCAATAGAAGAAGTGACCTTAAGTGCATTTAACTAGACATTTACATATATGTGCCTATTATTAGTTGGTCCATTTATAGATTGTAGCTACGTGTAGCAACTTCTTTTGATTTATTTTAAATACGATGAAATTCCCTCTCGTCCCACTGTGAACCGCTGTGGCACCCCATCAGAAACGAAAGCAAGAGGAGATTGAATATCGCCGAGGTGGTTTTATATTCTAGCAGCAGTGACGGCTGACGGGATTCGCAAGTGTACCACCTATAGCTACCGAGTGTTTGTTGTGTGCACCGCTTTGTGAGTCAATAAAATTTGATTAAAGACGCCGTATGTGCGTCTAATAAAAGTACATAAAAGGTTCTCTTACGAAAAGAAAAAAAAAAACATCAGTGAAGGAAAATGAGGTAAAAAGTGTGAGGCTCAAAAAAACAAGAAGATCGCAAAAAAATATAACGCTAGCAGCAGCAGGAGCAGCAGAGAATGCCGAGAAGAGGCACCGAAAGCGTTCACCGAGATAATGGAAATTTTTGTGAGTTTGCATGTGAACTTGGAGACGAGTCAAACAAGGAACGGTCCACCCCGAAGGAGAAGCAATTGTAATAGTTATTATATGTGGTGGCCTTGAATCGCATCACGGCGATCGAGTTCATTAGGAAGCGCTTTAGAAGACTTAAACACGCAAGCCACGAAGAATAGCGGGATAAGAAGTGTTAAATTGGTGAGACAAGAACACGCAGGAAGAACGTGATGACGTCGTCATCAAACATTGATTCGCAATTTTCACCTGGTGGTGGCGGTGGTGGTGGATCAGCCGCGGGTAGCGGTGGCAACGGAGCCGGTCAACCGCCCCAGTATCCGTACCAGCAACAACAGCAAAACCATCTTCCCTCATCGCAGCACAATCAACATCAGCAGCAGCAGCAAGCGTTCCACCACCGCCATCCGGTGGTGTTCACCGGCAATGCCATGGCAACGCCGATTATCAACGGAAAATTGCCGACGCCCATGCCGGCGATGGCTGCAGTCAACGGACCAGCAGTGCGTACCATTTCACGCCAGAAGCCAACCGTGGGCAGGGATGGCGATGCGAAGGGAACGACCTTACCGTCCAGGGTGTCGCAGATGTATTACCGGCATGGGCTGTTCCTGTCCAGTTATCCGACCTGTGCCACCAGCATCGCCATTGTCGTTATCATCTTTTGCTGGTAAGTCTCTTTTATAAAAAAAAAAACTGGGAAAAACTAGGAATTGAATTTCTTAACTCAGTGGCCACCCTGTGAACACTTTCGGTGTTTGCTGAATATTAAAAATCGGGAAATTGTTGAAACTTGCACCGGGAAAACGGGAATATACAAATGAAAATTTACTGGCCACCCTGAATGAAGGGTAATGAGAAATAAAATCCTGTTCAGAGTTTTGAGCCAATTTTCAAGGTATACAAATTTTCAACACTCCAAACGCAAAAACCAAATTCGCTTCGGCGCATTTGCATTCGGTTTTATCTTAAACTTAGATGCATATCGAACAATCGGGAAAATTTCCGAAATTCCGGAAAAAAAACAGGGAAATTCTTAGTTGGGATTTGCTGATCACCCTGACCGCAGAGCTGATAGCGGGTCAGTTTTTAGTGAGTTTGTAACTTTTTTGAAGGTGGTCACTAAAAATACTCTATTTTCGGCAAAAAAACACTAAAGTCATGTTTTTCGACATTCCTGCTTGAATTGCAATTTAAAATTCGTTCAAGACATAAATAAAAGTTGTTACAGTGCTACAGTATGGTTAGTTTCTAGTTGGAAGTTCACTAAACTAACGAACGGAAAAGTACACAGAAGAAACCAAAACGATTTGATTTTCGATTCCGTACCTTTGAGAAGTCCAGTTTCAACTGCCTCCCCTAGCTCAGTCGGTAAAGAAGCAGCTACAAAGCAAGTCCATGCTGGAGGCTGTGCGGCATGCAGTTATGAGCTTAAGAAATTGTGAAATAAGTTGTATTAATGATGCGGTGGAATTGTATATGGAACTAAAGTCGACAAACATTGTCGACTTGATCAAAGCAGGCTTCGTGTATTTGAAAAACCAGATCTCGTGGCTGTTCATCCCTAGGAGCTTCAAGAGGTTAGTCATAATTTAGCTGCAAGCTGCAGAGTTGGGGGATTCCCATTCGAACTCGAATCAGACAGAAATTCACATAGGCGGCTGGTGTCGATTCCCGGTCCGGTTTAGGAATTTTCCGGGTTGGATTATTTCTCGACTTTCCTGGGCATAGAGGATGATTGTACTTGCCACACAATTATACTAATGCAAAAATTGTACAGGCATTAAAAGCGCATCAAGAACATTAAGTTGAGAGCACACAATATGCAAATGTGCGATAAGCAATAAGCTTGAATTGCGAAGAAGGAGAAGAAGTTTTAACTGCAAAATACAATGGCCACGGTTGACCGGGAAATCTGGAAAACCGGAAAAAAGCCAGAAATTTGATGTCACCGGAACACACCCGTGAACTTCGATGCCAAATTGGAAAAAAAAATCTTCCTCTGTTTAAAAAATGTCAAGACACTTGAACTGGAATAAGTTTTCAGGATACAGTCACTTTGACGATCGTGTATTTGAAAAACCAGAATTTTTTATTTTATTTTCTCGAAGCAATTTTGAACAAATTTTAGAATGAATTCTAAAGATACACTCCCGATCAAAACTTTGGGGTCAGCAAAAAAAAACATGCATCTCTGCCATTTGAAACGTATTGAATAAAACTTACACCCCCGATCATAAGCTTTTGGTCACCCTATAACACTCCGAATACGGTGGGTAAAAAACTTTACGCCGACCACGAAGCCTCCGAAAAGTGTGTAACGGCAAGTTTGCAATGGCATAACTTAGTCATTTCTTAATGAATTTCACAAATTGTGGTACCTTTAGAATTCCTAGGGTTTGTAGATGATTTTAATTGTAAAAAGATTGAAAATAGAGTCGCCTACTTTTTTAAAAAGCGAAAAGAGTTGTTACACGTTTTTTTGAAAGGTGTGTTTGTAGGGTTTTGCAAGTGGCGCAAGATCTGTAATTTAGATTAATGGGTACAAATGTTCACAATTAGCCAAAATACAGTCATGGTTCCTATATATGGATCCTGGAGACAACGGAATGGTCCTCGAAAAATCCGGAACATCAGTAAAAGTGGTCAATCCTATTGGACTATTCGGAAGGGCAAAGAAGTTCGACTGAACGGTTTAGCGGTAGACAAATGACTAAATTTTCTTTATTACAGGTATCACTTATATACTAGAACAGGGAATCACTGGTTGCTTCGATTCGGATACTCTAACACTCCTCCTCGACATCGAATGCTAGAATTCCTGTCGCTTCTCGCAGTTTATCCAACTTCACACTGGTTAACGGCTTCGTCATCATGTCTGCCAACATGTCTTCTGTGGGGCAGTACAGCAAACTAATGATGTTCTTGTTCTTCAGATCCTTGACGAAACAGTACTTCGTATCCACGTGTTTCGATCGCTGATCCACTTTCTCGTTCTCTACCTGCCGAATGCAGCTTTGATTGTCCTCACGTATGCAGATGGGATGATTGACTTGCTTCCCTAGGTCCTTCAGCAATTTCAGCAACCATTGCACTTCCTGACAAGCCTCAGCCAGGGCGATGAATTCAGACTCAGTGGACGAAAGCGCCACACATGACTGCTTTCTTGATGCCCAACTCACAACGCCATTACCGAGGAAGATTAGAAATCCAGACGTTGATTTTCTATCTCGGGTGTCCCCGGCCCAGTCAGCATCGCAATAGACCATCAATGCAGCGTTCGATGATCCAAGCTGCACCGCGAAATTTCGTGTGTGGACAAGGTACCGCAGCACCCTTTTGGCTTCAATCCAATCCTTGGTCCTCGGTTTACTAACGGACCGTCCCAGAATTGAAGCGCTGATGGAAATATCCGGCCGTGAGTTTACCGCGATATATAGCAAACCTCCTACCAGACTTTGATAAAGGTCGCCTTTTGGTAGCTCCGCCGAATTCTCCTCCTTTTGCTGATATCCGGGATCCATTGGAATTTTCGAGCCCTTGGCTTCCGAGAGACCAAACTGGCCGGCAAGTTTCAATATGTATGCCTGTTGATTTAAACGGTAACCGTTGGCGGATTTAGTTACCTGAATTCCAAGGAACACTTGAATGTCGCCCAAGACTGTCAATTTGAAGCATCGTTGCAAATCGTGAACTACTTCACGGAACTCTATTTCGCTGTGGCACACGACAAGAATATCGTCAACATAGATGAGGATGAACGATTTCTGTCCCTTCGTTGTCCGGACGTAGAGGCACGCATCTGCCACCGACTGACAAAATCCAGCTTTCTTAAAGACATCGTCAATCGTCCGATTCCATACTCTTGCCGCTTGTTTCAACCCATATAGACTGCGATTGAGCCGGCACACGCCCGTTCCATTCGGACCCTTGGTTTCGTATCCTGGCGGCTGCTTCATGTAGACCTCTTCTTTTAAAGCTCCATACAAGTACGCCGTCTTGATGTCCAGGTGCTTCACTAGAAGCTTACGTTCTGCTGCGATGGTCAATAACGTCCGAAACGTAACTTGACGAGCTACAGGTGCAAAAACTTCATCGAAGTCGGTCCCATACTTCTGTGAAAAGCCTTGCGCAACCAGCCTGGCTTTATACCGGACAACGTTTCCTGTGGTGTCTTCCTTCTGCTTATACACCCACTTGCATCCAACGGGCTTGCGGTTCTCGGGCAGATCAACAATCTCCCAAGTGTCATTCTCCATCAACGACCAGAATTCCTCATCCATCGCTGCCATCCAATACTCACGATTGATCCCATTGATTGCTTCACGGTAGTTTCGTGGCTCTCGTTCGCCACTAGATGCTGCTTGGACTGTCTCACTATATCGAGCTGGTCGGATACCTTTCGTGGTTCGGCTCGATCTCCTGACTTGACATGTTTCATCGTCGTCGTCCTCGATCAATGTGGCATCTCCATCATCCGATTCGTCATCGTATTCTGAATCGTCCGACGAGATACTTGAGCTCTCATCGTTCGAATTTTCTTCCTCGATCTCACCGACTGGATTGACATCAGTGTTGATTGGTTTGCTGAATTCGAATTCAATCACCTCTTCCACTGGTAGCGATTCCACTGCCCGGTCCAAGGAACGCTCGGACACTTCCGACGCGGTGTGCTCCTCCTCAACGAAATTGGCATCTCGGCTGACGATTACTTTCCTTGTAGATCGATCCAAAAAACGATACGCCTTATGGTCCAACGAATATCCAACAAACGTTAGCTTCTTTGCTGTCGGATTCATTTTCTTGCGCTTTTGTTTGGGGACGTGAACGAATGCAGCACATCCAAATGCTTTCAAATGCGCTACGTCCGGCATTGTTCCAGTCCAAAGCTCGAACGGTGTTTTGGGAATTGACTTCGATGGTAACCTGTTCTGTAAATAGACAGCAGTACTTACGGCTTCTGCCCAGTAGCACTCCGGAAGCTTTGCATCGAATAACATGCAGCGACTCATCTCGACCAGGTACCGGTTCTTCCTCTCGGCGACTCCATTTTGCTGGGGAGAGTAGCTGGCGGTAAACTGTGGCTTGATTCCTTCTTGCTTGTAGAATTTCATCAGCTCGTTTCCAGTGTACTCACCACCCTGGTCGGATCGGATGGCTTTCGGCTTTCGTCCGAACTGGGTTTTCACGTATGCCACATATTCCTTCAGCTTCTCTGGAACCTCCTCCTTCTTCCGCAGCAGATACAGCACACAGAATCGACTGTAGTCATCAATGACGGTCATGAAGTACCGATAACCAGACACTGATGCATTGTCGATCGGGCCACAAACGTCTGTGTGCACAATGTCCAGCATTGCACGAGATTTGCGTTCGACCGATTTAGGGAATGACTTTCTGCATAGCTTCGCTCGCTGACAACATTCGCATCCTTGCTTGACTCCGCAGTCGTACACCTTCAAGCCGGACACCAGATTCTTCTTCAGCATCACGCTTAGAGCTTCAGGATCCCGATGTCCAAATCTTCGGTGCCAGACGTGCTGACAATCAACTTCGTGGTGGTCGTTCACAGCCATCGAAACTTCACAAGTCGTTTTCACCTTATAAAGGCCACTTGTTTTCTCGGCGACAATTGCCACGGTACCACCAACAAGAACACGACATCCTCCA